ACCAGCAATCCTAATTTCTGTGCAGTTCGCCTCGAGGTAGCCGACAATCTTCGGCTGATCCTGAATCGCGGAGGCCAGGGCATCCGTGGGGCCATCCTAAACAAAAATAGACTATAGAAAAGCCGTTGATGACAAACCTGTAAGAGCAACGCCCAGCTGGCCAATGAAATATCGAAGAGTCGCCAACTGACGGCCGTCGATTTTGTGGCGGTCCAGGTTTGTCGAAGTGCCTAGAAAAAACATTACATTTTTATGCCAGTTTCAGTATTTCGCAATATTAACACAAAAGAGGCACCAAGAAAAATATTTTTCCTACAGCGCTAGCTGTTTTTGTTGCACAAGCCAATGCCAAAAACATACCTTTAGGGCAAGTGCCGTCAATTCGTCACTATCGGTGCCAAAATACGTTGCCAGCGCCAAGCACAACGCGCAATGGGCCCGGATTGCCTGAAATATATTGTTTGCCAAAAAAATTAATATCGTACATCATTCTTTGCCGGGTCAGTGACGATGAAGCGTAGTTGAGCCAATGAATCAGAGATATCCTCAGCAACCTCGTCGCCTAAATGGTCGTAGATGTGAGAAGATTAGGTCACTTACCTGCTTGAAGTGCAATCAACGCGGTTAATGACGCTCCGAGCAGAATCTCCTCATCCGACTTGCGTATCGCCTTGTTCCCCACCTCCGCCAGTGTGGCTTGCCACTTTCCGACGAATTCACCTAAGGAAATGGTTGCAAAGAAGCAGGTACTCACTCAAATATCGGGAAGTCAGGCCAAAAAGCAAATGCTTCAGCGCAGCGGTACGAATACCAACGCTAAAAAGTCATGATCCATAGAAACAGAAAGTGACTTACTTCTTGTGGCTGGCATTATCAATATGTTCGCTGAGCGAGTCAATCAATGTGTCTTCATCCCCATCGATGTCACCTGAAATTTCCCGATAAATCGACGGTTTCCCCGATCACCTCTAACACTTTGCAGATCCTCGTCAAAGGTTATGTGGGTGGACATTGATTCACCACTGTCCGAATCGTAATCCTCATTTTTGTCTAAACAACGGGGATAATTCGCATGTTTCGTCATAGTGGTTGCACAATATTGTGATCAAGCTAAGCGCTTGGCGTAAATTTTCGTTTTTAAAGTTTGTAGCGTTTGAAGGGATACATTGATGGAAAGCTTGATAAACAATTAAAATCTGGCTGGAAAGGTACCTTTTCGCTTGTTGGCATGATTTGGGGCAAAGCCGCCATCTCCGTCTTTGTTCTTGTTCCGACCCTTCCCCATCGTGGTGGAGGAAAGCTGCAAAAAAGGTGGCTTGAGGAAAACTGAGAAAATGGGTAGAGAAGGTCGTATGTAGAAAAGGCAGGAAAAAATAAAAATAATTATATTTCATTTACAAAGCCTTCAACACTAGCTAAATATTTTCATTTCTTGATTTCGTTAAAAATATTTTTTTATTAACATAAAAAACAAACAAAATATTGTTCGTAAACTACGCGTATTCGCACAATTGCATTCTTAGTTTTTGAAGCTGAATTTACAAAAAATGGAAGGGAATTTCACAGTATTTTGAAGAAAATGAGCTGTTTAACCACCGATTGAAAGGTTTTTAACGCAAGGTTACACAACGAAAGGACGTAGACAGGTCTTTGGAGATCGTCTACTGGCCAATACCGCGAATCAACAACAAAACCGTAAATACCGGCCGCGACAAATATATTGGCAGAGTGAAAGGGCATGTGATGAAAGCGGCACAAAATTTTGGGCGGGGCCTTGTTTTTGGCCGAGCCGGGGTGGGTGTAGTCTCTAGTTTGGTGCTCGGACAGCCTGTCTCCGCACTAAAAATCGACCAATCAAACCCTTTTTTGCATGTTTCAGCTCAAACGAGCAAAATCTAATTTTCGCTCGGTAAGGCGAGAAGTCGGCCTTGATCCAGTTTTGCATTGGAAACCCGCAAAGTATGAGAATCCGGTAAAATCCGGGTGCTTTGGAATTTTGATAATTTTTGTCAATCTCTACTTTATGCCGAAATTTTGCTAGCAATACGCTGCTAACCACAGCAGTTGGGAAATGGGGTTGGGAAATTACCGATGAGCGCAAACTCAAAAAAGTGGAGACAATGTCCCTAAGATTGTAGTAAAAAGAAAGAAAAAAAGGCTTTTTTGCTTTCCTTTTCTTCTTCTTTGACCAGCCGATTACAGCCGCTTCGCGACTGCAATCGGCTGGACTTCGGGCTACCCTCCATATTCTACACCACCACATTTCATCCCCACCTTACGCTGATGCCTTCCCGGCAATACCTACACTGATGGCTTCAGATATCTCCTCTAGCCAACCCCCCCACAAAAACATAGCTACCTTTCGGATGGCTTCAGATACCCCCATAGCCGAAATCTCCTTCAAAGACTACCTAAATACCTTCCTGGTGGCTTCAGATACCCCCCATAGCCGAAATCCCCTTCAAAAACTACTTAGATTCCATCCCGATACTTTAAATGATTTAAATAATAAATTAACATAATTAAAAAGTATTAAAAGTATTAAAGTAACTTAAAAAGCTATTTGGGCGCGGGAAAGGGCCTGGGAAGAGGGGCGAAAGGAAAGGGGCGTGGCCTCCCGGGAAGGGGCCCCCACCCGTTTTATTAAGGCGCCACTTTCAATGTTAATTTTAATAATTTAAACTAAAACTTTTTGATAATTTTTTGATCAGTTTGGGGGTTTCTGACCACGCTCTATCCGAATCCGAAGAGACCTAAGCTCTAGCTCCTTTCCCCTTCGAGTTGAATCCGGGACACGACGGACAGACAGACAGACAGACGGACGCCTCTACTTTTTTATTATAGTTGATAATTACAGTTCACTGGCGTTAGGAAATACTCGGGCCCGAATCGGCAAAACGGTATACGGTAGCGTTTTCACGTTTTAGCCAGCAACCTTTTGGACTGTATAAAAAAAGCTTGACTATTCTTCAGCAAGTTACAGTTTTTCAAAATAAAAGTGCATCTTATTGAAGAAAAAAGAGTTAGTTCTATGCTGGCAGCACAGAAAGGTACGCGTCCACGCTGGTTTTGGACTTTTTCTACATACCTTACCCAATTTACTGTAGACAAAGCTTTAAACTATGTTAAGAAAGTTAAGAATGTTAAGAAATAAAAATCCGGAAGCAAACACAAAAACTAGCATAAACTAAAACTAAAACCAAACTAAACTCCAAAATAGAAAAGCCTTGATAGAAAAATAGGAAAGCCTCCGGAATACGTGCCTGTCTGTGCTGCCGGCGTCCAAATCAGTTTTTTTCAATAAAATTCTTTTTCTTCTTTTTTTTACCCTTTCTTTATTCACTTTTATTGTGAAAGCTGTAAAATATTGAAGACGAGGAGAAGGCGAATAAAATTTTGATACGGTCGGTTGCTTGCTAAAACGTGGATCCGCTACCGTATACCGTTTTGCCGATTCGGGCCCGAGTATTTCCTAACGCCAGTTTACAGTTCATATCGATTGGCGCAAACTAAAACTAAAGGAAAGAGAAAGACAAGAGTCGAACTATCGATTTTAGTCGAAAACCCAAATTTTGCCGTCAACCAAACGTTCCGGGACCCATGTCGTTGACCTTGCTGCATTTTTTCTCCCGTCAAGGGTGCTAAAATTGCTCTAGAGTCGCTGTAGAATGGGTGATTATCAATTCCTTAGTTGGTAACTTTCTGCCTTCATATGCCCTTTGACTGTTTTATTTTATGTGCCTATATTGTCACAATTTATTGTTTATCAGAGTCGCTACATTTATTAAAATCTTCAAGACCTGATGCTCAGTAATTCAATTTTTATACGTGTCCCTGCCATTTAGCAACTTTCAAAAACTCAACAAAAATCGAAGCACGAAAAGCTATCGGGATCTTTATCGAAATTTCCCTCCATCTGCCGTTCACATTAGATGGCTCCGGGTCTGTTCTTACCATTTTCATCCTCCTCCTTTTCTATAGAACATCATTAAGCTTTCAATTGAAAATTTAGGCCGGCTACCCCCGGTCGCCCCCTTTTTTTGCTGGCAGCCCTCGGTGTGGCCCGTGCCGAGGCTCCCCTCCGCGCGTTTATATCGATTTCTTCTTCTTCTTCCCTTTTGCATTCCCCAGCAAAGCCGCGTAATAAAAAGGCCAGCTTTTTTCGGGAGGGCCCTCCGGGCTTCTTAGGGCCCATCCCTGCCCACTCGGGCCTTTATTAGCTTTTCTCCGTATAACCCCGCGGAAAATACGCGAATCTCGGCAAAACTTGATGTTCTCAACTATTTTTACTTTTCAAAACTTAAATTTTATCATCTACTTTTTTCAGGTGCTTAAAAGGATGGACGGCTTGATGCCGTACGCCCGGGTAACAAACGGGTTCGTCGACCCGCAGTCGGGGCTCGCCTTGGCCCAGGATCAAATTGTAGTGTTGACCGGCGAAGAAAATGAATGGTAGCTTTCGAAATTTTTAAAAATCGACACTTTCCAGGTACAAAATCCAAATACCCGGAAACGCCCAAGAAGGGCGATGTCCGAAGGTGCTGGCCCATCGACTTGGCGCAACATTACGGTCGGTTAAAGCCTTTTTTCCTTTGAATTGAGATGTGATTTAGAACAAACTCTGAGCGTCTCGTCTTGTCGTTAGCAGCGTTTGCCGGACAGGAAGGAGGCGATCTTTCTTTTGAAGCCAACCAGCTGATCACTGTTGAAAAGTAAGCGGTAGCCCCTTTTTTAATGCTGATTTAGGGAGATCGACTCGAATTGGTTGTCGGGAGTGATCACGAGCGACTCCGGGAAGAGACTGGGGAAGAGTGGGATTTTTCCCGCGAGTTACGTCCAGGATTTACCGGTAGATAGTTTTCCTTTTCGCGAAAATTTTTTAAGGGGGTTCCCGTTGGCGTATCACATAGCGTTGATGTGGAAAGTGTGCAAAGCCCGCGCACCGCCCCTTCTTTACCTACGGTATTTCCTCATCTTTTTTCATAAAACTGTTCTTTTAGATGTCGGCGCGAAGCACACATACTATGAACGAAAATATTGGGCCGTACGGAAGGTCGCTGTATCCATTCCAGTAAGTAATTTAATCTGATGAGAGAAATTACTGGGCGTTCCTCCGGCTCGAAAAAAATCGTCCATTATAGAGGCGAATTCACGAACGAGTTGTCCTTTGGTGCCAACGAGATTGTGAAGCTTATTCGACGAGTTGATACGGAATGGATGGAGGGTGAAGTCAACGGGCAAACCGGAATCTTCCCGGCCAACTATGTGCAGGTATAGATAGGATTTTCCTGATTGCATGGAACTCGTAATAAGCCATGATTCACTTTCTAGATCGTTGTCGATTTCCCATCAGCTCCACTGAATGGCACCCCGAACGGAGGATCGAAAGATGATGATGGCATCGGGTATACAATTTATGATTCTTTCAGATTATCTGTGGACTGTTTTCCGTAGAATCGAATTTTTCAGAAAGAATAAAGGGATTTTTCGACCCCGGTTTTTTTCTATTTCTAGCATTTTTCCAAACTTTTACATGGCTGGATTAAAAAATTCCAAAACTTTTTATTTTCCTAGTATAAGTGCCAATTTGAAACATTTCCCAAGTATTTTTAGATAGTTTTTCGCTTGAAATAGAGCAAGTTTTACCAAAAACAATTGATGTGAAATTACTAGGTATCTGTGGGCCTATAGGAAAAATTGGGACCCCCCCCCCCGATAATGCGAAAGAGCCCAATTTATCGCTTTCAGAGTGGCCACCGTGAAGCATGCATTCGAGGGTCGCGAAGCTGATGAGCTAACCGTTCAAGCGGGGGACAGTGTCCGTGTGTTGCGAATGGTTTGTGCCTGCTCTCGGTTTTCTATATGTCTTTTAGGTCGACAACGAATGGGCGCAATGCCGAGAGCCGCTTTCCGACACGGTTGGCATCATTCCGATCGCCTTCCTCGAAATGTACCTTGATGATGACGTGGAGGAGATGGCGGAGAACGTGCAGGACACCATGAGCTCGACCAATGCGGTAATTTTCTCGATTTATCGATGTAACGCCGAATTTCATATAGCTGAATCCTAATACTAGAAAATTGTGTCTCTTCAACTCTTTAGGAATGGCCGGAAATTTTTTTGATCTCACATGCTAAAAAATGTAAAACAACCGCAATTCTTTTTGTAAAACAAATTGGCGAAACTCGGCATTATGAAAATTCGCAAAAAAATGTATTGAAAATCGCCCAAATTCGTGCAGATAAAGCCAATTTTTCAGTGGAATAGCTCGTCGCTGAGCGGCTCCAGCGCCCCACCGGCATTTTCCGGAAGTTTCGATCGGCCGCTTGGCTCACAAATTTGTAAGCCACACGTTTCTCGACGTACCAAACGTATTTTAGCTAATGATTTTGGCCTCAACCACACTGGCGGTTCATCGAGCTGGGCCAGATTCGACGACTGGGACATGGCCAAAGAACCGGATGTCAGTTTTAGTCCTGTTTTTCACGGCTTTTTTGAATCGCTTGGATTTGTAAATTTAGGAGAAGAAACCACCGCCAATGCGGCCGCCACCTCCAAAAGCCAATAATGCTACCACACCGGAGGACTCGGCCTGGGCCAGCTTCACCGATACACCGCCAAGGGCTCCGGTTCGCGCTCGTTCAATCGTTCTGAGCTTTTTCTAGGGAGTAACACCCTCGAATTCGATGACGCTCTCGACGAACGCTACAACGACAAACGCCGCAGAGCGAACCAGGGTCATCAACGAGCTCATTCAAACAGAAAATGCATTCTGCACCGATATGCAGGCGTTGGAAAAAGTAAATTGCAATTTTTTTTACTTACTACGTAAATTTAGGCCGTCACACAGACCAGCAAGCTGTCGGAGAAGTACAAGCGCGTGTTGAGCAACGGCATCCCGCAGCTGGTGGAGCTGTCGTTGTTGTTGGCCGATACGCTGAAGATGGATCTTGGTGAGCGGAGATAGACTAGTAAAAACCCTGATTTCAGAGGAGCCTGTCGAACGACAAAAGATTGGCGAAATCTTCATGAACATGCAAAAAATGTTCACCCATGCCTACGGCTTCTTCTTCCGCAACATTGAGTACATCCACGCCGTCGTCGAGAATGTATCTTTTTCCCATCTTGCCCCGACCTAATACGTCATTTTAGAAATCCGACAAAAAGTTGCAAGCTGCGATGACGGAGGTGTTGGGCTGGATGCGGACATACGGTACGGGTTGGGTGATCAATTCAGCCGTCTTTTTAGGCAGTTTTTGTTTCGACGTCCCGACTGCTGTCAGCCGGCCCGTCCATCGAGCCTTGAAGTATCCGCTTTTCCTATCGGAGATCATCAAGGTGACTTTGTCCACGATTTTTCCTCTAGTGTCATATTTAGTATACGAGCACGACACATCCCGATCACCCCAAGTTGCTGGAGGCGTTCAAACAGATGAGCAACCTCGGGCAGAAGATGAACGAGAGCAAGCGGCGCAAAGAATTGAGTCAGTGCCGAGTGACTTACTTGGTTCAAATAGCTGTTGGGCTGACCAGGAGAAGTCAGACAGGCCGGGGTTCAGATCGGGCTCAAATCTGGCAAAAATAGAGGGTCGACGATATTTATTTTTTGATTTATGGAATTTGCTAAAGATCTTAAACCTCGGATAAATTCGGCTTTCTATTTTTATAATTTTTGAACCGGTTCCTCATACAGGCCGGTTTTGGCCTTCCCTAGGGAAGTGAGGGATTCGGGAATGGTGTGCTTTTCAGGAGAATTAGCCAAAATTACCAAAGTTACCTCAGTTTGTATCTACTGATCGCCAAAATCTTTTTCTTAGTTGAGTTCCCAAATTTTGTAAGTTGTGACGTATTGGTGAGCATCTTTGGTTTTGCGCCCGTTCTCCCCCCGCTAAACCCCCATGAATGCAAGTGTTCATCTACTAATGGTGCGGTTTGTGCACGAATCCCTGACATGCATGGCCATTCCCACGGTTTACGGCAGGTAGACACGAATTGTCGCGAGTAGATGACACGCAGGAAATGCTAGTATTTAGCGGAACTTGGAAGATAGTTAATCGAAAGGGCTTTATCTCGAGCGGCGGTTGTATTCAGGGTTTTTCGCACTATTTCAAGGGAAAAACCTACGATTAAAAAACTGCAAGTTGGTCGAAAAAAAGCTTTTTTTTCTATTTTTTAACGAAAATTTGTAAACTTTTTACGGATAGGAATAGTAAAAACAGTTTAGAACGCTTCTCTATTTCTGTTAAAAATTGAATCCTTACGTTAGAAAAAAGTTGCTCCCCCTCCCTGCTCCCCATTAATGCGAAAGAACCACACTCAGAAAGCCTGTAGTTTTACAGAGAACTTCGAATTGCTGTCTTCCAATTCTGCGCTCAATTTTTTTGGTTGGAAGGCATGGCTTTTTGCGAAGACCGCGATATGGAGCTCTGGGGGCGTTTGGTACCATAATGAAGTGCCACCGTAGGTTCCCGCTGTCAATTGCTAATCCGTTTTCTTTTGGTTGGTTTCCCTGGGATAACGCGCCACGGATCCCGTTTTCTGGGTTGTATTTTGGCTTTTTCAGTGTTCCAAACCGTCGACTCGCCCCAGGCCGAGGTTCTTCTATGTAAGTGCATGCCTTTTCACGTTTATGGCCGGATTGACTGCACTTCACTGGGCGAAATTCTGAACTTTACTTGTTTTTCAGACTTGATTCTCCCCAAAACTTGAAAAATTTTAAAACGCTTTAATTCTCTCAAAAAAAGCGAGCAAACATCTGGCTAGGCGGATAATTCAAAAATTTCTTTTGGAATTTCGCCCCAATCGTGTTCGATGCGTGAACACTTGTCTTTTTTTACAAATTCCCCTGAACGTTGTACTCCCAAATATTCCAATCACCATCAGCGCTACCACCCGCAGAGGTTCGACGCGTACTACAGGAAATGCTCGTTAAGTGGTCGTACCGACGATATACATTTGTTGCCCGTTTTTGTTGCTATTATAATTTGCGTTAACACAAAATCCCAGTTTCCGGGGCGCCCATTCGCGCGCAAATGTCCGAAAAAAACTAGAACTTTCCCCCATCTACATCCCCCATTTTCAGCGCGCAAGTACAGCGAAGAGCAGAGCGCGACACTGACCCAAAAGTTGTCGCGCCTCTCGGTGCACTCGGTCGTCAAGAAGAGCAACCGCTTCAAGTATCGGATGGGCAGCGCCATCGGCATTTTGCATTTGGTGCGTAGGCTCTCCTGGATTCAATCCCCTCTTTAGACACGTGACCCGGATTTCGAGCAAATGGTCTCCGAACTCGACCAATGCGAACGTCGACTCGTCCGCTTCAACTACCAACTGGTCATCTACCAAAAGAAGCTGCAGCACGACATGAAGCGCCAAATCGAGGTCCTCATCGTCGCACCAAGTTTGTCGGCCTTTTTTCGGGGTGTAATGTTCTTTCAGATGCATCGCGGATGCCGGAGAAGGCGGCTATGCAACAGCTGAAGCCATTCTTTGAGATACTGCAAGAATTTGTTAAGGAGACCAACTACAAGTATGCTCTTCCAACGGATTTACGATCATTTGCCTATTTTTCGTCATTTTTCATCCTCATTTTTTAGGGTGAAAGACGATTGCCTGAAGGCGATTCGCGTGATCCCCAAGCGACTAATCGCCAAGCGCAACGACAAGCTGATGGATTATGAGGCGGCGAAAAGCGGCGCAAAACTGGCCGAGGAGATGAACGCCCGATTCCGGGACTTTGATGCCCTGAACCAGCAAGTCAAAACGACGGTGCCGAAAGTGATCGACGTGATGAATCAGGTGCTCCAATGGCCTGGCTCTGAACTTGTAATTTTTAGGTGCTCAAAAACGGGATGGCCACCCTCGAAGAAATGGACGCGGGGCTGATGCGCACGCTGAAGGACCGCTTTGAGCTGGAGCAGCAACGGTCAACACATGTAAATTGCCTTTACTCGCTGACCCACCCGACTTTTCAGTTGTTGATCACGCCGAGCACCATCTGCTTCGTCGACTTGATGGACAAAAATCGGCTGAACCCGCTTCGTCAAATCTCCACCAAAGCCGTCTCCAACCTTCGGCCGTTGAAATCGAGCATGAAAAAGCGGGCAAAAGGTTTGTTTCTGATTTTTGTTACTTCGGCACTATTCAGCCCTTTTTTCGATTGATAATTTTTACTGGTTTTTAGGGATTCTGTCCAAATCTAATTGGAAAAACAATGATTCTAACACCAAAGACCCACGAACCCGCATCCTTTTGGACATTCACTTCTTAATCCCCTTTTCTTATTTAGCAAAACATACGGAACCGCCCGAGTCGAAACCATATGTCCCAACGGTTACCACGATCAAGTGGCTCGGTGAGCACGACCCCCGAGATCGTCCTGCCGCACTTTTCGTGCCCAATTTGCACCCTTTTTGCCGGCTGTTTGCATGCCTTCTCTTTTTCTACAGTGTTTTTGGAATTTGCGGATCCGAAAATCATTTTTCCATACATTTTTTCGAAAATCACATTTCCGGGAATCGTTTCAAAATAGCTTTTTTGAAAACTTGGATCCGCCACATAAGCTCAGAAAGAAATAGCCAGCAAAAAAATGCGCTTTTCTAAAATATGCTTAGTGAAAAATGAATTTTCGATGAAATGACCTTTCGAAAATATGATTTTTGGAAATATGCTCATTGTAAATAAATCGCCGGCCAACAATTCTATCGCCTAGAACTTTTCGTTTCCACAAAGAACAACCCATTTAGAAGCCTCCACCTCGTCAGCTACCCCCGCCACCACCCCCAAAATCATCCCGACCTTCGCGTCGCAGGCCTCCCTCGATGAGATTTGGAAGGTGATCCCGTCCCGTCCCTTTATGTGTACCCCCGTTTCTCTAGGGCGGCCGTGTTAGTCCAAGAGAAGTTAAACGTATGCTAGAGCTCTTTAAGCAATTTGACGGTCAAGTGCACGCCAACGTTGGTCAAACCCTTTCGCTTCACATAACATCTGTGTCTAGGGCGCGGCTGCTCCGCCTCCAGCCCCGCCCGTCGAGCGACGATTCCGAGGGCAGACCGACGCCGAGAAGAAGGTGTTGCTCGAAAAGGCCGATGCGCGGTGGGTTTTCTAAACTTTATTTTTGCCTTGCCTCTGTTTTTATCGGGGGGGGGGGGTTTCCAGAAATCCGGATATTCCTAGAAATGTTATACCAAGGATTTTAGTAACGTTTTTTTAATGATTTCCAGCTAGATTTTAGGTGGAAAAGCTACTTGTAAAACCTCAAAAAATTTTTAAGGCTTTGTGATATGGCCCGAAAGAGACAGATAATTTTACGTTTTTACGAAGGATTTTCTTACAAATTTTTTACGTTATAGATCATAAAAATCCGTATAAACCGTGCCTTAGACGCATACGACAAAAATTGCGGCCTAGAGAAACAATTTTGCCCCCTTGATAACGCAAAAGTACCCTATTTCTGCAAATTACATGTATCATTTTCAGCGGTCGACGTTCCGACGTGTTCCGTTGTGTGTCCGAGTGGCCGGCGTCTCTGGAGGCTCGTGAAGCTAGCGAAAAAACGGGCCGAATGCTCATTGTCAAGACTGGCGATGCCGTGCTGGCCGTTCGTAAGGAGGAGCGCGGCTTGTGGTTCGTGTTGCCACCTTTCTCTTATGTCGCTCTTTCTTAAGGTATTGCTATAATGGGTTCTACAATGGTCTGCTCCCCTCTGGTATCCTGATGCCTTTCTACGAACGCCCAGGCACGAACATTGGAGAACCATTCGCCGATTTTGGTGAGGTTTTAGTATTGGGCGGAATTTCAATGTGGTCTAATCTTATTCTCTTTTCTTAATTTGTAACAAATAATTGTGGATTTTGACTCATTCCGCTTTTATATAAACCTCACAGAACTCACCACATCTTTCGCCATGAGCAAAATTATGCGTACTGAATTTCGAAATATCTACATTTTACTGTAATAAATTATCGATTGATGGTATGGCATTAGTAAATCATTTTGCCGGCGATCCTTGGCTTCAAAACTGAACTACGCTTTTCCAGGACTCCTCGAACAACGAGCTGCCGTCGCCACTGAACGACCCAAGAGCACGCCACCTGTGAAGAACACGAATAACTTGATCGGTGAGATTTTGCCCCTTTCTAAAAAAAAGTGGTTTTTAGACCTCTTGGACGATATCATCCCACCCTCCACCTCGGTGGCCCCGCTGCAGCCACAGGTCCTTCAGCCGACCCCCACGCGCTCGTTGTACCCCTCGCTGACCGGCCAGCAACAACAAGCCCCCAAGCCGGTCGCTGTCAATGAACCACCTCCAATCAACTGGGGCGCTACTTCCATGCCTGCAGGTTCGCTTTAGGATGTGGGCCTTACTTGTTTTTGTAGCAACACCGTCGAGCAACAACGGGTTCGATGCGTTCGCTCAGCCGCTGGCCCCGATCCAGACAAATTCGCTGTTCGACTCGATCAGCAGTACGTTTTTTCGGCTTTCGAATTGCCTAATTTTCGAGATTGTCATTTTTCAGATAGTTTGCTAGCCGAAAAATTACCGTATTTCAGGCGTACCACTTCAACCCTCGCCCGCTCCTTCCATGCAGGCGCTCACCCCAACCATGACGTCATCTGGAGGTCTTCCACCCATGCATCCGCAGCCGGTTCGCTTTTATTTAATTTAATGGATGAGGCGGACGACGTGGTGAAATCACAAAAGGGTGGCGAAGCTGTTTTACACCTCTAGCTTACAATTAACATTTTTAGAATGGCGCCTCATCGCGCGGCACCAACCGGCACTCGATCAACGACGACGGCTTCTCCTGGGATTCGGTAGACCGTCGCTCGTTAAATTGATTTTATTGATTTGATTTCAGTTCAATTCGACGCCGCTCAGCAAGATGCGCAGCGAATCCCCGCAACCACTGGTCCCCAGCCGGCCCACCTACGACCAGCCGCCAGCAATGCCCGTCTACGAACAGCCACCGGTACGAATTTTCAATGTCAAATTTACGGTAAATGATTCGCAGAATTGGGTCTCATTTTATGACGAACCGCCTACTGAGGTTTGCAGAACCCGTCGTGTTGTGTCGGAACTGTTTTATTTATTCGTTTTTTTTTTCGTTAAATTGGCTCCCAGAAAATTTGGGAGCTGTCGGATTGCGGGTGGATCGCGTCGTAGTAAGCGCCCTTTTACTAGTTTAGCGATAGAAATAAAAATATCTTGTGCAGTTTAGGTAGACTGAAGATTTGTGCCGTTTATTCCAACTATATGAAAAAGTGAAAGTTCGGTTGGGGCTTTCAGCTCAGTATTTGTCCGGCCGGCAGGCCTGAATTGATATCGGTGCCCAGGCACGACACCCGGGCCGCGAAGCTGCAGGGATTGCGTCGTCGAAAGCCTGCCCTCCGGGGGCAAGCAGCGTACCGGCGGGGCTCCGTAGCGGCTGCACAGATCGTTGTGGTTGTAGTCTCCGGATGGGGTCGGGTGGAAGTAGACGAGTGACGAGGGGTTGGCAGTAGCACATGATGAAGACGATGAAGATGATGATAAGTATCGCGATGCCGACCCATGCGTTGGTGAGCAGGTCGAGGAAGGGCAAGTAGTTGCGAATGCGTTCCAAGTGCTGGTCCACGGTTTGGATCTGGTTTGGAGATTGCAACGTCTTGATAGTGGTTGACGAGGGTGTGTGGCGGGAGCTGGAGGAGTGTACCCTTGAGTGCGATTTGTGTTGAGCGGGCAGCAGGTAAATGCAAGGTAGGTCGACCGACGATTCGGTGTGCCAGAGCTGGATTTGATGCGGTAGGACGTCGTATTGCAGTTGATCGGTATTGATGGTCGCCGCAATGCAAAGATCCGAGGCGGTGGAGAAATCGGTTTTGCAATCGATGAAGGCTGAAGCCAGGTAGGCAGTCGAAGCATCCGTGGACGGGTCCGGCGGTGATGGTGCATTCGGCATGGGCAGCGAGGATCTCGGTGGAAGCATTGAGGTACTCGGTCAAGACTTGCAGGCTCGTACCGGAGTTGAGACGGATCGATCGCGTGGTGGTCACGCCGGGAAGGAAACTGGTGGTTTCTTCATCGACGGCAGGGCAAATTCGGGGTCTTCGAAGTATTTGGCAAGTGGAATCGTGGGGCAGTTGCAGCTCGCGACGTCGAGAGAGACACGGCAATGACAGGTGTCGGGGGTGACGAGGCAATTCATTGTATTGGCGTTGGCGAGGCTCGTGCAGTAGAGTTGAGATGAGTCGAGGATGAGGGCCGTCGGATGGTAGCGCTGGATGTAGGGTGATACGTCGATCCGATTCGCGCATGAGGAAGAGGGACCCGAGTAGTGGGGTGATGGGTGAGGTTTGGCCGGCGAGGGTCATGTAGAGGTGTTTGGTCAGCTGGGTGCGACTGCCGGCAAAGAGTTTGCGGCTGCTGGGTCGGTCCTTGGTACCATTAGGATGTGTAATGGTCGTAGTGATGCGCAGGTAGGGTGTGTAGCTGGTGCAGGTGAAGGCACGATAAAATTCGTTGCTGGTACTGACAGCGATCGCGAAAGAATAAGCACGCTGGTGTCCAGACGCAGAAGATCGGAGCCGCCCAGGCGTCGGAGCAGTAGAATGGCCGGGAGCGCGGTTCACCTGGGAGCTGAAATCATTGAGCCAGGTGTCGAGCTTCACTTTGGCGCAGTATCCATCAGAGCAGTCTCCTGCCCCTCGACATCTTCGCTCGGAATGTGTCTCGAAGGTGTGGTCTCTTGTCCAGAACATGGTGCGAGAGTGGCACTGGAAGTGAAGTCGGCCGTAGGAGATGTGAAGTTGGGACGGACGGGCGGTATTGTTCAGGCTGTTGAGGCTGACGCAGAGCTCGGTGTGACCGGCTGGCAGGATGACCATGTCCTTGCTCGAAACGATGCACGATTTGGTGCCGCTTTTGTCGATTTGGCAGTCCATGTTTTGAGCAGACATGTGTGCTACTTCGTCGCAGGCGTGGCTGGTGGGTAGAAGAAGAGGAAGTACCGCGATGAAGATGGTGGAGTAGTTGATGGGATACGGTCTTCGTCGAGTTTTGCTCTTGTGAGGTTGTGGGTCGCTGGTCGGGCCGGGCATGGTGGTCGGCGCATCAGTGGGAGTGGAGGGGCCAGGAAGCAAGGAAGTGGGTCGGATGACGGATCGACTCGGCAAGGGTTGCATCTCGATGTGGCTGGCCGGATGGTCCGCGTCGTCGGGACTGAAGGATTCGTTGATTTGGGCGGCTGAGGGAGCGGCGAGTCGATTGACGATGTTGGCACGGTGGCAGGCATGTCCCAGTCGCTGAGGGATTTCCGGATGAAGGGCTGCCAGGAGGGCGATACCGATGATCGTGAGAAGAATCCAGATAATGAAGAACTTCTCGGCGATGTTGTGGCAATCGTTGAGGTCGCGTAGCTTGGCTGCGCAAAAGCTGCAGTCGTGGTGAACGGCACAGGGGTTCACCGGGCAGGTGACGTTGAGGTTGAGGATCTTGTGTTGATGTTTCCAAATGTGGACGGTAGCCGCGAAATTGCTGTGGTGATGTGGCAATAGTGTCGTAGGGATCGAGATATCGTGTTCTGCCGATTGTATGGTGAGGTTACGCCAGAAACAGACGTGTCCCAGACAGTAGTATACGCTCGTGTAGATGTCGGGGTTGAGCAAGTGGACGTGGAGGTTGTCGTCGTCGCAGCTGATTGTGGACTTCAAGGTTGGGTCGGATTCGTGACGTAAGAAGCCGTAGTAGTGGAGACTTGATGCCCGTGGCTGATGATTGGAATCTTCAGAGTTTCGGTGAGTAGAAAGGTGATGGGCCGGTCGTGCGGAAACAGTAGGGTCGCTGCTGACGTTGCATCGGATTTTCGGATCTCGGCACAATGAGGAGTTCCATTGATGCCATCAACTTCATTAATGGTGCCATTGAGACATCGGTAGGTAGTCAGAAGCGGGTAAAGATCCGTGCGGGTACGTAGGATGACGTCGCTGTAGGTGCTGTTGTCGGGCAAAACCACGAATGGGCAATGCTGCTGATCCGGGTTGATCCATGAGTCGTCAGGTGTCCAACTGCAGACGTCTTCGTTGTACTTTTGGACGGATTGCATAGCGGCGCTGATTTCATCTCGGTGTTCGAGGGTCCAGTTCACGTAGAGTCCGTTGGGCGGATAATAGAGATGAGTCGCCGCATTTGAAGTCGTGGAAGTCGAGGGTACCTCGCATCCGTTGGGAAGCCAACAGGGATGGGCGCCGTCGAGAAAAACAGATTCGAGTTGATCCTGGAAGGGGCCACATGGCGGGCGGAAGACTGTGGTGAGATGTTGGAGGCGCTTGCATTCCCAGTCGATCTTTTGGGCAGATTTTCCTTGACAAATTTGGACGAGGGCGCCGAGCAGCATGGCGAAGAAGATGTAGTTGGGCTTCGGGTTCCGAGTGGCGCGAGGGGCGCGTAGTCGTGTCGGCTCTCTCTCCGGGTCGACATCTGGGGTTTCGGGCAGTGGGACGGGGTCGTGCTGGACCGGTCCAGGAGGCGTGATCTCCAGAGGGAAGAGCTTGTTGACCGGTCGGATCAGGGTCCCTTGTCGGGTGCGGACTTCGGCAGCAGACGGAATACCATGAATTGGCTTCAGGAGCTTGATGACTTCGCCGACGGTCCAATGTATTTTCTTCCCGTCGTCCGCAATAATCACGTATTCCCCTAGTTCGGGATGGAGAGGATGAGGGCGTCCTTTCGCTTTGTGGAAGATTTGATTGCGTTCCCGAAGTGCTTGCAAATACTGTTCAGTCCAGAAGCCTTGGAAGCGGGCGTAAGCTGTGAGCGGGCTTGCCAGTGCTGGATCAAGTTGTCTCTCGTGGACGGGAGCGGGTTGTAGTCCTGGTCGTTGTCGAGCGGATCAAGGGTGGCTTGGAACGGGGTGATGCAAGTCTTCGGTGTGATCATGTCAATTGGTCTCAAAGGATAGTAGTCCAGATCGGCAGGGATGACGACGAGAGGGCGATTGTTGAGAATCGACTCGGTTTCGTGGGCCAGGGTGACGAAATCATCGTAGCTGGGTTTGGCACGTCCCAGGGCTTTCAAAAACGAGGTTTTGAAAAGGCCGATCATTCGCTCATAGTGGCCTCCTTGCCACGGGCTGGCCGGTGTGATGAACTTCCAGACCAGATTGTGCGCCGCACAGAAATCTTGGAATTTGTCGCTTTGAAAGATGGGGCCAATTGCTCGGTAGGTAGTGGCATTATCGGAGATGATCAGCGAAGGCTTACCGCGGCGGGCGATGAAGCGCCGCATGGTCTGGATGAGAGCTTCCGCGCTCAGACTTGTGCTGACCTCAATGTGAGTGGCTCGGGAGAAGAGGCAACAAAAGAGGTTGACCCAGACTTTGAGGTCGATATTCTGCTGCTTGACGATGAAAGGCCCGCACATGTCGGTTCCACAGTGGGTGAAAGGAGTCGCGGCCTGCAGTCGACTAGGGGGTAGATCTGCCATCGGAGGTAGCGGATAAGCCTTGCTTCGGGCTCGTCGGCAGTCGGGACAATCTTTGTGCAGGACGGATTTGACCAAGTTCCGGGCTTGTGCAACCCAGTATTTTTGGCGGAGGGCCGCAAGGACAAAGGAGACGCCACTGTGTTGAGTAGATTGATGGAGATGGAGGACCAGCAATCGGGTGAAGTGGTGGTTTCTGGGCAGCCAAAAAGGGTATCGAATGTTGGGGTCGAGGCCTTCTGTGTCGATACGGGATTGGCAGCGGAGGAGCTGCGTGGGTCCATCTGTGACGATCCGGAAACGCCGGCGGTCGTCTTGGGTCGGAGGGCACTCCAGCTGAGCGAGGCGGATGGCGTTGTGGAGGGCAGCGTCGTCGTCGGGTCGACGGAGGTGCGGCTTGTTGGCGCTTCGGCATTTGAAGGCGAACATCAAGACGGTCAGGATCGTGCGCATTAGGCGTCGGAAGCTGCTGAAGCGGTTGAATTTGATGGCCGGGGAGAAGTTGGGCTCCGCCACGGCGTGGTGACGGCGATCTTCGGAATAGGGCTCGGCTTGGGCAGATCCAGATCGGGCCTTCGTAGCCGGCAAAGAGTGTCGAATTGGTCGGAGGGCTGGAGTAGGCTGCTGGGTCCTTGATGCCAGAGTGTCGATTCTCGGAACTCCTGGGGTTTGAGTCCACGGGTGAGTAGGTCTGCGGGGTTCTCAGTGCCACGGATGTGCAGAAACGTAGTATTCGGCGGGCAATCCAGAATCTTGGAGATCCGTCTCCGAATGAACGTGGTCTGGTCCTGGCTAGATTGGAGCCATTGGAGGGTGATCAGCGAATCGGTGTAGAGGCAGATTTCGTCAAAAGAGATATCCAGTTCATTGAGGATCCAACGCAGCATTTCGCTTGCATTCGAGAAAGCGATCAATTCGAGTCTCGGAATTGTGACCGCAGTTTTAGGGTTCAGACGTCCTTTGGCAAATAGCAGACGGGTTTCGTATTCTCCGGTGGGGCGCTTGCTTCGTACATAGGCAACGGCGCCGTGTGCACTGGCCGAGGCGTCGCTGAAGATATGGAGCGACGGTGACGTCAGGGTGGAGGAACTGCAGTAGGAACGTGGAAAGGTCCAGTTCGACTTGTGGTAGGCTTCAACGAGTTTTTCCCACGAGGCGTTGTCGATGGGGTCGATTGGGTCATCCCAGCCCAGAGGCTTCTCCCAAAGCTTACGTTGGAAGAGCTTGGCTTCCAAGAAAAGGGGAAGGGTCCATCCCATCGGGTCGAAAGTGCTGTTGATCCAGGAGAGGACGCTGCGTCGTGTGGCCAGCGACTTGTTCTTCGGGTGCTGGTATTCGGGGACCGCAATACAGAAGAGGTCGCTCTCGGTGTCGAGATCAAGGCCAAGAATGCTGAGCCGTTTTTGAGGGGTTTCTCCTTCGGCTCTCAAGTAGGCGTTGAAAGTCTCATCGGTGGAAGACCAGCTGCGCAAGTTCATCTTAGCATCGGCAAAAAGCGCTCGGCTTTGTTGATAAAAGGCTTGGGCACTGGCAATGTTGGGAGCAGTGGTGATCACGTTGTCAACGTAGAGTCCGCGAAGAATTTGCAAGGCTTCGGGTGTGCCGCAGCTTTCGAGATGGGCGGTGATGACCGCAGCTAGTAGGAAGGCGCTGGAGATGACGCCAAAGGGTAGCCGCCGAAAGCGCAGGAGCAACAGGTTTTCAGGGCTGACGGGGGCATTGAGGTCCTTGAGCCAGTAGAATTTGACGGCTTGCGGTCCGGTTCACTGAGGCTTATCTGGAGGTACGCTTTTCAACGTAGCCGTGAGCAGGATTCCGGGGTGCCGGGCGCGGGCGATGATGCCGGCCATTTGGCTCAGCATATTGGGCCCTTTTTCGAGACATTCGTTGAGGGATTGGAAGCCGGATTGGGAGGCAGAGGCATCGAATACCACTCGGTGGCTGGTGTGAGCGAGCTCTCCTTGACCACGACGTGGTGTGGAAGGAGGCTGTCGAGGTGCTGGCTGGCCGTGTTGTGGGCGAGCTCGGGATGGACGACTTCGCAGATTCCTGCCTTGAGGTAATCTCGCAATTGTGTGTCGTACTTCTGTAGAGTCTCTGGGGAGAGTCGTAATTTCTTGACGACTTGCTGCAGTCGGACGTAGGCGAGCTGCTTGTTCGGCGAGAGCTTGGGATCAGCTTCTTTCCAAGGAAGTTTCACTTCATAGCGGCCGTCGGCTTCTCTAGAGAGCTGTTGGATGACGGTCTGGAACAGGTCAATGGGCTTGTCTTGTGGATTCTCCGTGATGCCGATCCCTTCGAGTTCGTAGAGCTGTAAGCAGTTGCTTGATTTCCGGTGTCAGCGGGTTTGGTCTCCTCCCGCTTTTCTCTCCTCCTCCTCCTGGGGTGGTGCCGAAGCCGTATGGCAGAAACCGCTGAAGATAGGCTGGCGTTGGCGACGGCATCGATGAATCCCTGGCCAGCGATCAAGGTACCAAAGCGAGTGACTACCTTGAAAAAGCCGGATTTCAACGGGATAACCTTGACATCTTGCAGGATATGCCGAAGTAATCATTGCCCAGGGAAGAGGGCTTGGTAAGCCGCAAGAATTTCTCCGGAATACGTGGCAGATTGGCGGCGGATCGAAGGTTGCTGGGGAGGGTTGATAGCTCGGAGGTGAGGTGGTCCACCGCTGAGACACAGATGGGAAGTTGGGAGTCAGTGCCGATGAGCTGGAGTGGGTGTCTGGCGAGGTCGACGATACGCGCAGTCGGCTGGTTGAAAGTGGAGAGAGCAAAGGCTTCCATTTTGAGGGTGGGAAGCTGTAGATCGGCGGCAATCCCAGTGTGGATATACGATTTCGAGGAGCCGCAGTCGAAGAAGACGTCAGCCTCGATTGTCTGGTCCGGGAACTGTGGGTCGGCAAGCTTCATGGTCATTAGCGGTAGAAGCGATTGTTCCGAAGGTTCCGAGGGCTCCGGGGGTCTAGGGCTTTCGGGAACCAGAGGCGTCTGGCTGTGGAAGTTGTGCGTGTCTTCAGCGGAAGAGACGACCGGATCAAGAGCGGGCTGATCGACGGCACCGTGCGTGTGCTGGTGATGCCCGGAAGAACGTGGAGCTGGCGGATTCGAGCGCCAGGTCGGGTCGTGACCGTGGGGCTGTGGAGCGTAGCCCTGAGGTCCAGGTGCAACAGGGGAAGAGTTGCTGCTTGGTTGGCGCGCAGGGGCGCGAGGGCGGGCCGACCGTTGCATGTCAGATGGTTGGCCATTGCGTTTTATCTAGAGCACCCATAAGAACCGCGTTTTCAGGCACTATCGGCTTCGAACCCGTTCGCGGCCATGCAGCAGCAGCAGGGCCCACCCTTGGCCAGCTACGATCAACCGCCGCTCGAACCGCAGCCGTTGTCGGCTCGAGTAGCCCCGCAACTGCCTCAGAATTCTGGGGCCCAAAAGGTAATTTTTGTAGCGTGGTAGTTCTTTTTTGAAAATTCATTTTTTTCGAGGGCTTTTCGACACTTATTTCGAAAATGTGCGCGTTTATTTCTTGTCACTTGTGTCCTTTTGCCATTGGTAGATTGACGCACATTTTTATCAACATTCTAAAAATTCGAAAGTCGACAAAAATTACTTCCAAAAAATGATTTTCGCAAATGTGTAAAAAAAATCGTTTTCAAAACCTGTGTTTCCAGACCCACCCGATGGTGATGGCCGAGTACGACTTCCAGCCGGTCGGCGACAACCAGTTGTTGATCCGCGAGGGCGAGCGCCTACAGCTCCTGCAGCGCCACGATGATGACGGGAACACCGAGTGGTTCCTGGTCAAGAGGGCCAGCGGCGAGCAGGGGTAATTTTCTTAAAACGACGAGGAGCAGTCTTTTTTTAGATACGTCCCAGCAGCCTACTTGAAAGATCTGTGAGCATCGTCATTCCCCGGATCGTCAACCCCCCTCCCCATCGTTTTTGATTATGCCTGTGCTCAATTCTCTTCCCCGCTCATCTGTCCCAAAACACATAGCCTGCCACTCTATCTTGCCCCCCATAGGAAAATATGCCATTGTGTCGTGTCGTGCGTATATTCTGCGTGTGCTGTTCGTCATTGGTGCTCTATTCAAAGCTTCCTCCGCCTACACCCAGTTGGAATTTGCACTTTATGAGCTTCTCCCTCCCCTCCCCACCCGCAGGCACCGGTGAGAGTCTATCTACCCTCGTGCCTTACTTTCCAGCATGCTAACTTATAAGCCCTGATACTTTTATATTTATCTGGTTGCTGAGTGCCCCTCCCCCCAACAATGCCGCACTACACATGAGTTTCTTCTTTTCCTCCCTACGTGTGCCGAGCCCCAAAATCCCGTTTAATTGTGATAGCTGAAATGAGAACTGTGAATTTCCGGGGCCCCGTTGAGGTCGCCATTTTTCTGTCTGTGCATGCATAATTTCTTCACTTTTCTTTCCCAACGTTGCCTAGCTGTGAATTTTATAAAGATTTTTTTCTAGACCTTGGCTGATTTGCGACTTGGTAATGTCACCATAATTACTTCGGTCTTGTCCGCGGACAGCTGAGAATTAGGTCTTTTTAGATGAAACTATTGACACACAATTTCCTCTCGTCACGCTTTCTAAAAAACGTCTCAAGCGGCTACCCGTTGATTCTACGAGCGGCTGTGAAGGAAGAACGAGAAGTCGACTTCGAGCCGGAATTTGTTCAAAACATTGTGCCAAAGGTATTTTTTTGCCTTCGGCATCAATGATGTTATTTTCACACCTATATTTATGCAATCCCTCACTCTTTTAGCTCGATTATGGAGCGCTGGTTGCGGCTGCTGATGCAATCGGCGAGGAGGGTCTACCCAAAGAGCTCCCAGAAGGCTGGCAAGAAAAAGAAGATGTGTTGAAAAAGGTGCAAGAATTTTTCAATGTTAATGTCAAATTTTTAGCTTCACCACCTCCTCGTCCGAATTGAGGTCATCGAAGGGGAACTGGAGTGCCCGGAGAGCCATCGCGTGTTCCCGATCAAGGATGGTATCCCGAACATGTTATGCCAGGAGGACGAGTGCTAGCCTTTCGGTTTGCGCGCCCAGGTGCTTTGTTTGTGTTGCTTATTTCAAATTCTATTCCCCGCGATCTCTGGAATTCCCGACGTCTTATTGTTGTTACGTTGTCCGCTTGTGATGTGTACGGAGATAAGAGAAATTTCATTGGCAAATTATCAATATCGAGCAAAAAATCCCTTAAAGCACATGACAAGAGGGCGAGATATCCGAATGTACCCGATTGAGCGAGAGACCAGTTTCTAGAGATTACAAGGGCAACGTTTAATGTACAAAAATATAATCAGTGGGCAGAAAAGATGAAAATAACGGGGAAAAGGGACAATTTAAGATTTTACAAATACGCAGCCCAACCAAGCCACATCCTAGAAAGGGCCAGCTCATCGGTGGCCATTTCGATGAGTCGATCGACTTGGCCCTCGACGATCATTGGAGCGGCATGCCTGAACTAGATTTAGGAAGCCCGGAATGTAAACATACGATTCACGTTTCCCGGAGACAATGTGCCCCTCCAGCCGGCGCTTGATCAGCGTCACACTTTTCTTCGCGTACTGCTCCTTGGCGGCGCTCGTCATCTTTTCAGCCTCAAATCATCAATCGGTACCAAATTTGCCAAAAAAGGACCTACATCGACGGCCATAATTTGGCGGGTGCCTTCACGTCGCTCCTTCTCGGCTGCCTTGTAGAATTCAAGCAGGGGATCGTGCAGGAATGTTGAGATGAGCGTCAGCAGCGTTTCCTAAGGGAATATTGTTGACGGGCAGAAACTCGTGCCTTGTTTTCGCGCATGACACTCATCGTCGTCTCGCAACTTTTGCGGAAAGCGCCCTCCACGCCAGTTGGGCCGAAGCCGTCGACCATATTTCGGGTGAGGCGGAAAGGAACACACTGAAAATAAACAATAACCGCGGTTTCTTTAGTTAGCGCGGTTCCATAGCAAAGAGAGAGAGAGAGACTGAGAGAGAGAGAGAGCGAGAGAGAGAGAGAGAGAGAGAGAGAGAGAGAAGAGAGAGAAAGAAACCTCCGGGACGGGCAGCTCTTCGCCCTTGTTGAAGATGAGCTGAAGGTCCACGTGCACCACCATCCCGTCCACCGTATCCAGCATCATATTTTCGGCGTGGCTGAAGAGAGGTGCTTGAAAAGCAAACATCGGCCTACCGGTCGCCGAGCCCCATCACGAAGCCGATCATGCTCATTACGGCCGCCGAACGAGCATACGCCAAGCGGGCAGAGTGCCAGGAACACGGGTCGGCGAAGGTTTTTCTAAACAAAAATATTTACATTACAAAAACCGTTACCTAAGCCACTCGGCCATCACTAATGGGTAGGCCGGATAATATTGGCGCCGCAGAATATCGATGCGATTCTGATCGGGCATACGTGAAAAACTGAACAATTCGAGATTTGATGAAATCCTAGCGTTCACTCACTGGTCGAAGTTGTGCACGGGAGCAGCAGGCACCCGAGGTTTTTCCTTGGCCAACGTCGTCACGACGGAGCGGTACGAGTCGAGATGCGGTAGAAATTCCATGATACCGCCCTTCCCCTAAATACAACCGGTTTTACAGGCAAACCCGCGGTCGCCTACAGCCAAGGGTATCGCCGAATAGGTCTTGACGTTGAGCTGACGACGTCGGGCAGCCGGATTTCGCCTCATCAGGCTGTTCATCATTCGGTTAACGTCATTGAAACGACCGTCCTTGCGCAGCTCATCGTCGCCGCCCTTCACCATCACTTCATAGCTGCAAAAAAACGTACTGCTGAAGCCGGAGCACAAACTTTTTCCCATCACGCCCGCGGATCGTGAACTTCTTTGGCTTGACCAGTGACGAAAAGACCTATAGGAAAAAAATTAGGAAAATCGGAAATGCTTACATAAAGGTCCTCGGCGAAGCCCTGGATGAAGACTTCCTGCGCCATACTAGACTCGTTCAGGTCGTCGATACCGGCCGAAGGACCGGGCCCGATGCATTGTGAGAAGCTTGCTGTCTGAACGACAAAAACTGTTTTTTTTCGGAATGGAGCAGGGACCGGATGATTCATATTAGTACGGGAAAACCTTGTAGGAAATATTCAATGATTTTTAGCAAAATTGCAACCGGAAAAAATTTTAAAACCGCAAGTTTTGTCGCAAGGCTAGTACATTTTTGGGTAGAAAATATCTTTTTGTTGATAGAAATTGTAGTTTTTAAGTTCAGGAATAGTAAAAAAAATTGAAAAACTCATTTTAGCAAAATTGCTTTCTAAGGAAAAAGCCCCCACCCCCGCCACCTATAAGCAGAACGCGCTCAAAAACATACCTTGTGCTCAACAAAATGGACTGCGCGCAGCATCAGATCGCTGTAGGGAATCATAATCTACCAAAAACATTTGTAAATTTCCTGAAAATTTACCTCCATCTTTTTATGCATAATAACGGGGGCCTTATTCCGGGGCGTTGCAACGCGAACGTCGAGCTTCCCATTCTTCACCCAGTCGCGCGCTGAAATACAATTGTTGGGCTCAATGAACGGCCTTACTTCTAGACTCTGTGTACATTTTTCCCGTAGCAAAGAACTCGTAGAGCTCACGTGCATTGTCCGCCATCTTTTGCTTGCCATTCCGGATGTTCTTATTGGCGAGCCTGAACGAGATTTTCAGAGTATAACCCCAAAACTAACTCCAGCATCAATCCGGCGACATAGTCATACTGATCAATCATATCACCCATTCGTGGATCGTTCGTCATCACCACTTCGTAAACGCGATGGATTCTGGAAAGAAGACTAAAATAAGGCGCGTGGAACCTTTCAACCTGGCCAGCCTCAATCGTAACGCGGCGAACTTCTCCTTCTCGACGATACTGTTGCCCGACGACCTGAAGGCGACCTTCACCTCGTTGTCCGGCCGGAACAGGGAGATCGAGTGCCATATGCATTGATGTGGGTATTTCAGGATCAGATCGGAGAGGATTTCCTGGAATTCGCCGTTTGTAAATCCTAGTTTTTGACTATAGTCCAACCATTCATCGGAAAAAACACAAAAAGTGTTTCTGCACCGTTTTCTATTATCCATAATGGTAAAACGGAAAAAGACAAAAAGGAAAATGGTTATAAAAAAATTCTGCGTCCAGAAACTCTAAATTGTTCAACCTTTTTCGAAATTTTCTAAATATTTTTCAGTCCAAGAACGGCCAAATTTTGCTATAAAACAAAACATTTGGCTAAAGAATTCGAATTTCCCCAGAAACCTAAAAACCTACCTTGATCAAGTCGAAGACAGTCTCAGACGGGTGGCAGATCCGCGTGAGCAGTTGGTTGAAGCATTGGAAGAAGTGCAGCGGATTCAATTGAGCATAGGCATTTTGCACGATGTTACAAACCTGGAAAAAAAGCTTCCGGTGAAAAACGCTAGGCACAAACCGCTTCAATTGTCAACCGCGTGGCCTCACGCTGGACGCCATTCCGTTCGTTGACCAGCTTTCGTTGCTGAAAACAGAAAATAGCAAATTCATTTCAAAAGCGCATCGGCACCTTCGTTTCCGTGTAGTCAAGCCAGATGGTCAAAATGCGGGGCATCACGTGGACAGCATGTTGGCTACCATGGTGCAGCACGGTGATGTAGTGCGTCAAAACGATTTTCACCAACTCGTCGGCGTTTTTCTGAAAAAAAACCCGAAATAAAAGCAGCTAGAGAACGTACGCTGCCCATCTCTACCGTTTTCTCGAAGTTCGCGTCGTAGAAGACAGCAATCCTCAAAAAAAATATATTTCAAATTTATTAGCGTAGAGACGAACCTATAAAAGAGGTCCTCGCTCTTGATGTCAAGGGCCGGCAAATTTTTGTAGATGGGATAGAGGTCGTTATGGTCGCGGGTGCCGGCCTTCTGCTTGTATTCGGCGGCGAGCAGTTGAAGTTCACTGTACTGTCTTCGCTTTTCTTCCGGGAACTCCACAAACACAGCGGCAGCCTCACGGCTTTGCGAGTCACGAGCCGACTAAAGGAAAGCAATTCAGGCCGTCAAGTAACCGTTAATACCTTTAGTTTCTCAAAAAGCTGATTCATCTCGTAAAAGCCTTCGCCTTCAAGCATTTTCGTCAACAGCGAGATTGAAGCAGGGGCCGCATTCTGGAATTAAGATGGGTGCTAGAGCGTTATCGGGGGGGGGGGAATCAATTTTTCTTAGTCTATATATGCCTAATACTAATTGTTCTCTTTGCTAGTTGCCGAATATTGACAAAAACAAAACCCCTTTTTAAAACTATAAACTGGAACAGTTAGTTAGGCGAATAACGTCTGATTTTGTCTCAAACTTCTAATCATTTTGTTCGTAGAGCAAAAAGGCTATGAATGGCAAAATTATGCCCTGTATTTGATATAAAAATTTATAAAGAGCCTCAGAAACAAACCATTTGGAAAAGGTACCGCGCCTCTTCGATGCCCGTTTCAAATTTGCATACGTCGAAACTCTGCGCGGCCGACAAGTACGTCCAGGAGATCTGGAGTTGCCCGGCCTGGCGGGCGAGGCGGGAGCTTTGCAGTAGCAACCGGCACGTCGACTCCGCGTTCTGCTCATTGGCCAAAAGTTCGCGGCGAACGCTGAGGATCGGCTCGAGGACGTTCATGTCCTGGACGACCAGCTCGGAACGGGCTTCCCATTTCTGCATGATCTTGTCAATGTTGAAGGGGGTAGATGGGCAGCGTGTGAACTCCTCGATCTCGTCCAGGATGTGCAGCCTAAACGCTTTATAGCTCCGGAAAAATGGCCGTTACTCGGTGATGTGTTTGTAGGATTGAGCATACGAATCGGAATCCTCGAGCGTTGTCCCCATCAGGCGATCGGTGACGCTGGAAACGAGATAGGATCAGAAAAATGGTTCATTTTTAATGTAAAAGTAAAAGTTGTAATGAAAGGAAATAAATGACAATTTGAGTCGTTTTAGCTAGCTATAGCAAATCCTCACCGATTTCGGCTTGCCGTGATGCCGGCCTGGATCAAATCGGGATCCTTCTTGCGAACGGCGTGCAAAACGGAGGCGCAGGACGCTCCCCAGGAGGTCTCTCGGGAGGAGGAGTTCGGCTTGAAATCCTCGATGAGTTGGCCAAGCTTGTCCCATTTGTGCAGATGCCAGGTGGCCTCAATTTGTAGGTCTTCAATAGCCCGTTTCAGAGAAGGAGCGACATCTGAAAATGGGTTAATTTCTTTCCGGACAACGCAAAAAGAGACCAACTTGGCGGGGGGAGGGGGTTTCGGATCCAAATTCTTTTTATGCCTAAAAATACAAAACAAAATTTTTTCTTTAAAAATATTAAAAATAAAAAGTAGTAATTAAGTTTCAAATTTTCAACCATTTCTTTCATTTTCCTAAATAGTTTTTGCGTTTAAAATCTAACCTACTATCAATAAAAATAATTAAAATAACTGGCAATGATATTATTAGGCCAGGATTTAAGGAAAAAGTCTGCCGAGCGCGATAAATATTTCCGAAGGCGACAACTGCCTTGAAAAGCTCACCCTGGTCAGCGTACTCCTGATATAGCGCTTCTGCAGTCGGCAGGGCCAGCTGTGACTGGTTCAGACGAATCAACGCCTTCAGCAGCCGTGGCTCCTTGTTTTCGGTGCACTGTTCATACAAGGGCAAGGCGCGATTGTAGTCGCCGATAGCCTCCAACGCCAAAATCTGCTCGTCGGCCGTTCCGTCCACCGACTTCCGAATCGTCTCCCAGGCGCCCTGGACACCATCGACATCCTCAATCTGGGCATAGATGCGTTCCAACACGTAGAACGGGACGCGCTTCTTCTCCGGGCCGTTTTGAGAGGCCTTGCCGCCTCCAATCGCCACTTGTTCGCACCATCGGAGTGCCCGCAAGAGGCAGCCACATCTAAACCAATGTTGGAGAGAAGGAAGGCGCCAAACTTTTCTGCTGCCAGGACCGCCAGCGTGATTCCTTCGGCTGTTTGTATGGCGAAGGTTTTGTTGAGTACCTCGGCGGCACGCTGCCCTTCCTGAAATGAAGGGTGGTCGAGGCAGGGGAGAGGGGGTGAAGGCGTGAGGAGATTTTCCATCAGCAAATCAAAATTTCATAATGTCGTAATGCCGAAAACTAGAACATTCGAAATTTCTAATTTCTAAAAATTTCTGGAAATCCCCAAATTTCCGAACCCCGCAAATTTCGACTCTGAAACGCAGTTGCGCTAACGATTTCGAAATTCGAAACTTTCCAATTTCCTAAATTTACAGCGAAAACGGGCCGCATGTTGCGCAGCACAGATTTTCCACTCCATTCGGGTCCGACAAACCTTGCTTTTCGGGTTCCGAGCCACATATATTTCCAGCGCATCCATGAGGGAGAAGACGGCCGTCGCGGCCAGCCGTTGCCAGCCGCTGTTGACGAGGGCAGCCTCCATGCATGCTTGCATCTCTTCGGCAAAGTAGCCGATATATTCCTTGTTGTCTTCGACGATCAGCTGGATCAGCACGTGGATCAGCATCTCGCGCATGAAGGACACGTCGCGCAGGGTGACGATCGTGGCGAGATGGCGGAAAATTTCGTCAAAAGGCCGCATCCGGATCTAGAATTATTTGCTTGGGAAAAGTCGTTTTTAGGTGAGCGTGAGGTTTTGCTATGGTAAATAGCCGTTCGATAAGGCTAGAAATTCGGGAAAGCAAAAGAAAAGAAGCAAAACAATCTTACCTGCGCCTGTCCACTGCAAAAAAATCGCAGCATCCACTCCGAATAGTTATTGTAGTGTTGGACAATCGGTCGATTGCTGGTCGGATACGGCTCGCGCGTGGCCAGGGCTAGCTTTGAGGTGAGCAGCGGCTCCAGATCCATCCGGCATTGTTCGGAGCTGATTTTTGGCAGCAACTGAGATCCGTGCATTGTTTGCAGAAGCCCTGAAATAAAGGTTCACCACAACAAAAACGATCGACGAACCTTGGAGGGAATATTCGACTTGGTTCGCCTGCTCAGCATCGCTAACCGCAGCATAAAGCGAATAGCTCCGCTCCAAGACGTACAGCTGGAACCCGTCGCCTCCGCTATCAGGGAAGACGAGCTCGTCCACCTTGTTTGACCGGTTGACCATCCTGTGGGCCAGCGAGAGGCCGACACGACCCGGGTCTACGGCACACATTCTTCCGAGGCACCGCACTGCCAGCTCGCGGACATCGGCTTGACCGCAGTGGCGTATCGTGCTGAGGAGCACCTGGCCGAGCAGTCCGGCGGTCTTTTCTTCGAGGGGGCTACCATCTAGGTTGGCGATCAGGCGCTGCAGCACAACGCGGCCCACGACGTCACAATGCTCTTCCAGCATTTTGATGGCATCTAAGGTACAGGCTATTTTGATCGCGCCAGGAACGCTTACCTTCCACGATCTCGTTGCTGAACTCAATCGGGCCAAATTGCCTCCGCAAGTACTTGCTCAGCGGGGTACTGTCCGCACTATCATGCCATGAAATGACACGGGCTGTCCGCCGGATGCTTCCGCTAAAGATTGGTGGAATGATGAGACATAAAATATACCCTTCGTTGCTATCATAGCTCGACTGATTGAAGAGAACATGCAGGATTTTCGAGTCTTCTTCGGCGCACAGTGGCTCGATGGCGATCAGGATTTGAGGCAACAGTTGGCCGCGGCGTCTGGAAACAGTACAGTGTGTATTCCCAAAAAACGAGGACTACATTACGCTACTATGCACATACTTTGAGCTAATCGACGTGGCAAATGCGCACCACAGCGGCACACAGCGTTTCCCGAGCGTATCGGATATGGCACGAAGCAGGATCAGGAATTTGATGGCAATCTAAAATGGTTGAAAAAAATCGAAAAATACAGCACATACCGTGTCCAGGAAGTTCTGGTCGAGATGGGTGACAATGAATTGCAAAGAGTCGAGCAGAACGTCGCGTATTTCGAAATTGTCGTCATCGACCAGGTGGCGCCGAAAGCACAGCAGGAAGCCCATATATTCGCAGCTAAAGCAATTACAGAAGTTTTGGAAAGCCCTACTTGAAGCGCAGTACCTCTGTTATCGACCTAGCCGTCTCCTTTTCGGCCGGATGGCCTTCGGGAAGTGCGCGGGACAAGCGGTGCATTACCTAAAAAAGTTCAGCCTGCCAGGATAGGCCAAGTAGGACTGCGTGTAATTTTTCTCTCTATTTCTTCATACTTTTTCACATATTTGCAAATCGAAATATACATGCTGAAAGTGGTGGAAAGCGGAGAAAAAAACCAAGATCTCAAAATTGTGAAATTTGAATCCTACTATATATAAAAAAATAGTGTCTGTGTGTGTGTGTATATTTGCATGCACTTCCGTTTGGATGTTCCGCACCTACAGCCTCAGGGAAGCATTTTTTCGGTAGGGAAGAAACTTCATAGGGTAAAGAAGGGGCTGGAATCGACTGCACACACATAAATCTTTGAAAAATTGCTATTTTCGCTATTAAAAATCGATTTTTGTAAAATTTTCGGCTACCCTCTTTGTTAGGAAGCAATTAGCATACGCCGGAAGTGCAAATGGCTTATAAAAAGGAACAGAGAGGGCGCGCTTTTCCTTTTTTGGTGAGCGGTTTTCGGCAGGAATTATGCTAAGTCAATAACTTCATCGATCCTAGACGGGGCCAGGGTTGAAAAGCCGCGAAGCGGTTTTTCAACCCTGGTTTGTATATCAACTATCTGGAGAAAAATTGATAGTAGGAAACCCCACTAAATTATGACAAGGCGTACCTTGTCAGGGTCGTAGGTTAAACAGCGCAGATAGGCATAGATGACGTGAAACCGCTTCTGCTTCCAAGCGTCATCCTAAAAAACGCAATTAAGCGTCGAAGTCCCCAGATACCAGATCCACATTCGCAAATTCCTTATAGAATTCGCGGAGCCGGATGACGGTGCGGCTGAAGCCGTGCTTGTAATTCGGCGATATCATGCCCTCGATGATGTTTGGAAAGATCTAGAGGATTTTCGATTGACTGCTGAATTATCGTACCTCGGTCAAGAAGTCAACTTTATGCCGGTCAACGCCACGCACCAATCGTTGCAAGCACAGGAAGACATCTCCCTAAGAGCGCAAATTTAGAAAAAAAATTATTATTGTACCTTTTCGTATTGGCCGGGTAGGTAGTCGAGCACCAAATCGGCCGCAATTTTCGCAGACGCCTTTAGCAAGAAGCTAAAAAGGCAATACGAAACAAGGAACAATCCTACGATTTCGTGTTCTCAAATTCGAACATGTCCGAAGTATTCTCCAATAACATGTCGACGTCTTCTTTCGCCTTCTTTTCCATTTGGGCGGGATTCAGGTTCTGGTTCTGGATGTATGTAAGTTGGTTCAACGAAAAACGCTGATCTTCCCAGAAATTTTGTAGGAAACAGACCTGCGAATAGGAAATCCTGGAAGTGAAGGCAATCATCCGCAACTGAGCAGCCATGGGAGCGCAAATTTTCTAAATCTCGATTTCTACGTATTCGAGAAACTGTCCGACCCTCGAATTCCTCGCAAAGTAGACGGTGGGCGAGATGCCAACCTTGGCAGCACATCCCTTGATCATTTCACGAACGGCCATGTCCATTTCCTAAGCAGAACGATATAGAAACTGCGAGTTTAAAGGTACCGTCGCTTCCGGGGAATCGTCGTCCAGCTTCATCCATCTCTTCATCATTAGCATATAACTGCGTTCGGCCAGACTGGCCTTTGATGCGTAGAGGGCTGCCGTGCGAATGAATGGCGTTGTTGGTCTGTACCGTTTGCTGTACGGTATGTCGTGAAAATCCGCCTAAAAATATAAAATTGGAATTAAAAATAGAACTATAAGCGGAATTATCAAGCTGAATTCGACATATTTTCTTACATCTGGAACGGCCACGCGCTTGAAAAACTCTTCTTGGAATCCGTCCGTCTCGGGGCCATCGGCCAAGCTTACGACAATCATTTGGAAGCAAGTCCTTTAAAAAAATCCTCTTTTAAAAAGATTTCCAGCGTCGGGCAGGGCAAATTTTTTCCATTATGATCCTATTTTCCGAATATTAATAAAGAGAATATTCTTTTTGACGAGGAAGAATTGCTCTTCAAAATAAAACTCCACAAAATTGACTTAAAATTTAAAATTCGAAAACGCCTTTCTTTTAAAGGGATGCCGACGGCATAGTCAATCGATTACGCGCGGAAAAGAAAATGTCTCTGGGCCTCTCCCCTGGGGCTCTCTCCCCTGTTGGCTACTTGCCAATTTGTTGATGGGGGGGATCGACACATGCCGTCGGCAGCCCTTTAAGCATTTAGATGGTCACATTCTACTCAATCCTACTATATATAAAAAAATAGTGTTTGTGTGTGTGTGTGTGTGTGTGCGCCACTTTGCATCCACTTCCGTCTGTCTGTCCGGAGAATATCTTGATAGGGGATGGATTTTAAAGTACGTATGATACGTCATTAGGTGCGCAATGGTCTCGGGGATGACTGCACAGCTATCAGATTTTACAAAATCAGCGATTTTCGACATTAAATTTAGGTTTTTGTGAAAACTTCTTTGTTAGAAACAATTAGAATAGACCGGAAGTGGGGACGCGACGATATAAAGCGGCAGAAGAAGTGGTTTTTCATTTTTTGCCATCTGAATTCAGGACAAGTATGCAAAGTGAAGGATAAAATGCGGTCAGACGGGGCCAGGGTTGAAAAGTCGCGAAGCGGCTTTTGAAACCTGGTAAAACTACTAAAATCCTTTTTATTACGTTCTTCGCATATCTGGACACCGGAAATATTAACGATTAAGATATCATACTACCTGTAATCAATATGAACTTCTTCATCGATATCGTTGATCATGGCGAGGCTGAGCTGCATAAAAGGCAATCCCACCTTGATACCATGCGCCAAACAGCAAGAGAGGATATTGCAAGCTTCTAAAGCAAAGCCTTCCGATATTTGGCGTACCCTTACCCCTTCTCAAACGAATCAAGTGGTTTTCATTTTTCTGCAGTCGGGCATCAGTGAAAATCTTGGAGAGCACTTCGAAAAGCTGTATCGGTATTTCCACGGACGGCTCGTATTTTCCGCTTTTCCTCATCGTGTCGCAATGCTCGCATTTCTCCCAATTTTGACCCTAAGCCAGGGAGAGATTTTGATTCTAAAAGCATCGGCCTACCGGGTGTTCTGCGTCGCCCACACAGATGCCTCGCCAAACCGCTTCCATAACTTTGATGGCTGCATCAGCTGCTGCGTAGTCTACCAATTCGCTGGGGATTGTCTCCAGGGCGTTCTGATAGAGGGCCGCGTGGAAGGTGGGCTTCATCGAAGCCAAGAAGTATGGGAAAGATTCCAGTGCGGCTGATACCTGGAAAATACGATCGTTTAGAACAAAAAAGGAGAATTTACAATGGAGGGGTCAGTAGATTCGATGGCATTTTTGTAAATATGCTTCCTCCACGTTGACCACCCATCACAATCCGTTTCGCAGATAGCACGAAGCGTCAGCTTCATCGTTTCCGCGTCTAAAACAAATTAGAAACTGGCGAAAGGGGACCAACTCAATAGTTTGCGGCATTTTCGCGATAGCTGGGCTATTTCCTTGAGAATTGGAAGCGAACGCTTGTAACGATCCTCCATCGAGATGTCGATCACCTAGTTGGGGCATTGTAAATCGGACACTTTCCATACCTTGAGCCACGGAATTGATAGCAACGCCAATGAGGCACATTCATCAGCCTGCGACTCTTTGGAAAGCCCAGCAATATAGCCGAACATTGTCGTTAGCATGCGCTCACCATCAGCGGGCGACATTTTCGTGGTTGCGATATCGATCCACTGAAAGATCATAAATTTTCTCAAGACCAAGTTACCTCTTCCACCATATGCTTTTTGGGCAAAAAATCGCGCTCCAACACTTCGGCATCCTTACATTTCAGTGCCACTGCGAGTGCGGACCTCAGACCTGTAAAAAACGAGTTTGATAATATTTGTAGCAGCCTACAAAGCAGCTCTTCATATTTCGACGCGGCTCGAAGCCGACTTTCAATAACGGAATAACTTTTTCGAATCCAAGTAGCGTTGTGGCTAAAAAGGTATTCAGGAAATAGATAATGTTATTCTCCATACCTAATGCCGGCAATTCGATCCTTCATCAGGAGCATCGAGAGCAATTCCTTCAAATAGCCGGAGACTAGCGGTGGGATCGTGTCCGTGACGAGGTTGATCAGCCGTGTAGAAAGCACCTGTAAACGCTCAAAATTTCACTCGGGCGCTAAAATTACCTTGATTTGCTTTTCCAGTTCTTCAAAAGCCTCGCGGTCCTCATTCAATAGCTCCAGGTCAAAAACAGGCAACAGCAGCATCAGCACAGCTTTCAGTCCGAAAAACGCCGCATCAACTAAGGACAAAGCACTGCTCGCGGTCCGAAATATCGTACCTTCCGGCTGGCCAGCCGCCTTTTGGAGCAATAACTCGGCTAGCTTTGCATATCTGAAGCCCCATCGTATGACCTCGCCAATTCCAAGCTCTTCGTAAAACTTGGAGTCGCTCTGCAGCACGGCCACGGCGAAAGCCTGAAAAATCGGCGTGGTAAGTTTTGTCAGGATCACAGACCTTGAGTGCAGAAGACGCAGTTGCGGCTGTCAAAGGCGGTTTTTCGCCTTCTTTAACGAGTATAGTATAGCGTCTAAACAATTCATACTGGTTCTAAAGAAATTTGAACTACCCAATGAGAGCGTCGAACGCAGGGAAGAGTAGCCATTGTCGGCATAGACTCTTGTTGAGCATGCTTTCCATACACAGCACGGCTACCTAGAGGTAAAAGTGTAATGATATACGCCTCTCAATTCACCTCGCTGAGCTTGGGATCGTGGGGAACGAATGTGGTGCCGGTGTAGATTTTGATCAGGCAGCACCAAATTTTGGTGAGACGTGTATCGTCAATGTGAGAGACATCGTTGCCGCTAAGTATCCCGGCCCGGAACGTTTCACTGAAAATAAGATTTGAAACTTTAGGGTTTTGGATAATAGTAAAAAAGGAGACCTTTATAAATACACTTTAAAGTTTTCTTTAAACGAGACGAGACATTTAAAAAGTCCAAAAATATCGAAATTCTGGACATTTGAGCGCTGAAAAAGCGATGTTTGGACCTAAATAAAATTTCCAATGAAAATTTATAGTTTTTAGATTCGGGAATAGCAAATACATGTCTACAGAGACTTTTTCATAGAAAAGACGCTATTTCGAAAAAGATCACCCACATCAACGATAGGGCGGCCATTGTCGAGGTACCGTCGATACCGCAGACCGTGAAAGCGACCTCGTAAGTGTTTTCTCCAAATTTCAGGGCCACGCTTGAATCGTCCTCACAAAACACGATATCTAAGACAATAGTTTCAGTCAAGAAAACTGTCATACCAGCCAGCGGATCGATCACGTACTTCGTGATGAAGATTTTTCGATTTTCCACGCTGAGCGCGCGCAGAAGCACGTTTATGCCTTCCTAGAAGAACAAACCATCCCCAAACCATCACTTTTACCATGAGTGCTTTGCCCATTTTGATCACAATTTTAGGATGCGTAAGCGCCAGTTGAAACTTCCACACCATCCAGCGTATAAACTCTAAAGCCCGTTGTTTTGCCAGTTTAACCCATCAAAACCTGGTTCAACGGGCACAACATTGTGGGCAAATTGCAGACAGTGGACAGCAAGCTTGACATTCGCGATGTGGCCCATAAATTGCTCGTCGCTGTCATGGAGGCATCTAAAGACGCTTTTCTTTGTCGCTTTCGAGAAGTTGACCTGGCCTAAAGAATCTGTACCTTTTTAACACTCCGTCGTATCGTATATTGACAGCGTTGCGAAGCACGAGCAGCACTTCATCTCGTCTTCTAAAAGACAAAAACAATTAAAAGACACTTTTGCACCTACTCTTTGAGCCCGCCATGGCTCGCGTCCTTGCTGTCATCGTCTATGCACTTGAAGAGCCGTTTGTGCAGCCCTGCATCGCATTTTTCTATGTCCAGCGGGTTCACACCTACAAAGAAAATATTAAAAGCGGTTGCCGATTACCCGGGCGAGGGCGTTGCGATGTCGAGGGCGCGGTTTCTAGCATTTCGACGTCCCTGGGGTCTTCATTCCCGACACCTTCAGATAAGGTGCGTCTCATAGGCCGAGTTGGGCGACCTAAAATAGCCAGAATTTGGCAAGAACAAATTTAAAGGAGTTCGTAAGATTTTTTCGAATTTTTTCATTCGTTTGGATGGAATTTCAAAAAACCGCGAGATTTGGGGGCTCTTTTCTCTTCGCGGGTTGCAACAGTTTTTGAAAAGGGACTGAACGGCTAGAGTTTTCATTTCAGGATTTGACAATCGCGAAACATGGAAATAAAAAGATAATAAAGACACTTTTTGAAAAAAATGATCACCAAAAAAGATACCGTAATGGGTTTTGTACACAGTAGCACAGCGGAATCCGTTGTCAACCAAAAAACCATAAAAACTATTTGTTTTGCGTTTTTTTCTAAAAAATGCCGACGCCAAGCAAAGGAACTGTAACACGAAATGTGGATCTTCTGCTGCTCGAGCCGACTCGGGTTGGGATTTTCATTGGCCCGAAAGGCGTCTGCCTCAAAGCCATCGAAAAGAAGCACAACGTGGGCAAATCCAACGTTCCTCTAACTTTTTTTCAGGTTTTGCTGAAATTTCTGCCGCCAAAGACCGTCCAAATAATCGGCACCTCGGCGTATGACGTCGACCTTGCCGAAGTTGCTTTGGAACGCCACGTGGTAGGCTTTTTGGCTAGAATTTCCAACGTATATCTGATCAGCTCGACATCTACACGTCAGGCTGCTCGCACACGATATCTGTCCCCACAATGATGGTCCCGCTTTTGATTGGTAGGTGACCAACTTTGTCTTTCTCTTTTCTTTTTCTTCGGCTCCCAAAATCCATCCAATTTAGGCCGGGCCGGCTCTTCAATCCAGGAAATTCGCGACAAGAGTTCCGTCGAGGTTGCCATTCTCGGCCAAAAGGATGAGAAGTCGAAAAATGAACGCGAAGATTACGGCCCCGAAGCCTCAAAAGCATTTGAGGTTGGCAATTTATCAAGTTTTTCACAGAATCGTTTAGAAATTGAAAGCGAGATTCTACGATGAAAACGGCTTTGAGTTTACAAATATTGTTTTGACCGGTAATTTATTGGATAAAAGCTAATAACGTTTTAGGCGATTATTTGATGATTTCCGTTGCGGTGATGATGATAAGCGGGAAGCTTGATGACCTCAACCAAGGTCCGAGAAGGTACTTTCCCAGATTTCTAAGTTTTTTTTGTTCTTTGCAGGAAACCTGTGTACTACGACTACGGGCATCAAGAAATGTGACGCACTAACGTCTAACTATCGTCGTTGTAACTTATTGTTTAACTGACTGTTGTTGGGTGCGGATAAAGTTTTGTCTTCTTGACTTCTACCGCGTCTTTCCATGGTTTGGACAACCAGTTTCATTTTATTTGTTCTCTCCGTGGGGATTCGACTAAGGTTTCAACTTTTTAGGATGAGCAAGAAAGTGCCGCCTAAATGGAAGAATACACCGAAAGGACGCGGCGCCCAAAATGTAGGCCCGGTTCTTTCGCTTTATCGGGGGGCAATTTTTTTCTAATCTAAAGCGGAAATTTTTCCAAGCGCAAACGTTTTTCAAAGGAAATTATCGCCTTTTCACCAGAAATGCCGAATTTTCTACAATTTTTTGCCAAGTTTATGTATCATTTTTTTACTCAGATCATGTTAAATTTTGCTAAAATGCTACTAAAATAGTAACGCTACTAGGCATTTTTGGACTTCTAGTAAAAAGTTCCCCTGCCCCCCAATAACACGAAAGAACCGTAAACCCTTACTTTCCAACTATTATGTATGAGATTTGCAGACGATCTCCGTGCTGCAATCATGGGCCAGAAAAACCGAAATTGACGCAAAACAAAGAGAGCGAGCTCGTAAGTTCGGCGTTACGTCTAAATTTAGAATTGTTAGGATCCGGTGTGCCCGAGACAGTAACGCTAGAGGATGATGAGACGCTAGACTTTGAAGAGATCCGCTCGACCATGAGTGTAGCTTCAGCGGCTACGGCTCCAGGTCAATTATCCAGCGATTTTCAAAATTTTCCATTTTAGGCACCAGCACCCCAATTTCTTCCGCCGACGTGCCGAGACGTTTTTCCAGCACACCGTTGACTCGAAAATCGGTGAAGGGCGAAGTGGCGACAAGGCTTTTGCTACTTTGATGTATTTTATTGATCTTTTAGTACCGACTTGCTGAAGGAAAGCGGCGCGTTGCCTGACAAACTCGCCGAGATTCGGTTTCCCATCTGTAGGTCGCTGGCGAACGATTTTGTGTCATTGCTTGTAGCGGAAATTACGCGACGTTGGGAACGCGATGCAGTGCATGTGTTGGCACGACACAACGCAGCCGTCGCCTACCCCAATGATGCCAACGGGGCAAACGTCGCCGCGATGCTGTTCTTCAATTTTCTGAGGTGAATTTATCGGTTCTGGATTGTTGGTGGGTTCTGTACCTTTTCTGGGTTTTTATGGTGTTTTTAGTAATCTCAAAAAATAGATTACTTTTTTTGATCTTTGAAAAGCTAAATTTGAAGAATTTTTGTTAACTTTCTATGAAAGTATTTTTTCTTTATTTCAGAACCAATTGATCCACGATAACTATATGCATGGATTTTAGGTGGTTTCCAAACGGCCGTTGTGTTTGTACGACCCACCAGGCCCAACACGCGGACGCCATCCGAGAACGCTGTCGGGCCGTTGGTATTGCCGAGCAGGACATCACGGTTAGCCAGAGCACGATCTCTTGTAAATTTTGATTTTTTTTTGGGAAATTGACAATCTGATCGCCTTCAAGAAACTCAAACCACATGAAATTGGGCGTGTGCTGCTATGTTCGCCTCAGGTAAGCCCACGATCGATGATAAACTCCCATTCAGACGCTAGCAAAAGTCTGCGAGCAAAATCAGGAAATTGCCGCAACGTTTCGCTGCTTGGTGCTGGTGTTCGAGAGCCCCGGCGAGGCGATGACAAAGTATAAAAAGTCGGTCGACATTATCAACAACAAATTGGTAATGATCCCTTTCTTCAGTTCTCGAATTTGATTTAGAAAATTCTTTGTCGCTTCGCCGTGTTAACGCCAAGGCCTTCTAGCGGCAAAGCGAAGAGTTCGGCCGTTGGCACGAGACAAATTTTGATCACGAATCTGGGGCTTGGCGAATGGACGCAGGTATTTGGTTTTGGTGCAGTTAAATTTATTATGCATTTAGTTTGGCTTTACCGAGATGGAGTTTCGCGATTATTACGTCGATTCACGCGTTGGGGCCGATTACTGGGACGAAAGTGCCGTAAGCAAAGAGCAGGAAGAATGGGCCGGTCGTTGGCGGCAGGTCAGTCTTTTTTTGATGCGGGTATTTTTGTGTCTAGAGTGCCTCAGACTTGTTGCGCCAAACTTCCAAAGAGCTCCAGCAGCTGCCCTCCGTCGAGCCACAAGAATTGTTCTATGCCGACTGGAGCTTGGTGGAAGCGGTAAGGAAAATTTCTCTGGTCGATAATTTTTGGCGTAGGCAAATCCGGGCAAATCAATCCGGTCGGCCGTCTTTGCCGTTGAAGCCTACCGGAATTTGGTGCTCAGCGGACCGAGGGCCTTCTACCTTTTTTGTTATGGTGAGTTCGATGGTGGCGTTGATGATAATTCGGTTCAGGAAGCGTCCGGAGGAGCGCGGGGGACTCGGAGGAGATACAGATGCTGCTAGCTACAAATGACGGCTTCAGAGGCGTCTACGAGGCCATTCATAAGAAGTACCGATACTGCATTGGTACGGATTTCCCTTTCAAATTAATTGCGCTTTTTCAGAAGACGAATATGACATCCGATTCAAGCACGCGTCGCTCAGCTCGCACCCAAAATGGTTGAGGCTCCGGAAGATTGTCGAAGACTTTATTTTAATTGGTCAGTTTTTTGAGGCGTGTTAGATAGATGTTTCTCGAGCCCTCATATTTATCGAAATAGGGCCCAAAACAGGGCGTGGGGCTGAATCACATGCGGGTCGAGAAATAGGACCCCTTATTGTTTCTGCACGAGCATCTCCTCGCCGATGTAGCCGTGGGTGATGAACTTGGCGGGGTACTTCTGCAGGTAGTATTGGGTCAGCGAGTCCTTGCGGAAGTTGGCCAGCACGAGGGCGGCACGCTGCTGCTGATCTTTCACGTATTCTTGAGCCACCTGGGAAAAAGTGGCTATAACATCAGCGGCCTATTTTTTAGCATTTTGCGCTGTTTCAAGGTGAAAAAATCGTGAAAAATTTTGCACTTGTTGGTCAAAAACAAAAAATAAATGCAAAGCGCACCGAGAATGTACAGAATTTTCATATTAAGTTTTTTTGAACATTTCCTAGCACTCAAAAAATTAGGAAAGAGCCACTAGAGCCCCTCCCCCGCTAACAGAAAAGCACCCCTCACATCTTGCAACGGCATCTGGAGGCAGTTGGCGATGGTGCAAACGACGGCGATCGGCATCTCCGATGACTGGATCGGCTCGATGCAAGTGCTGACTTGCGATGGGTTGTTCTTTAGGTATGCCGCCTGCAAAGCATTCTTGGCTTGCTGCGGCTTTACCAACGAACCTTCCCGGAAACGGACATCCACAGGATGACGGTGGTGACGATCAGGACGAGCCCGACGACCAAGTTGAAGCCAAGTGCGATCGCGAGTCCAAGATCAACCATCTCGACGAGGCGTTTGGTCGAAAAGCTTCCAAAAGAATATGAGTAGCTTACAAAAATGGTATCGGGGGCAGCTTTGGTTGATTTATACGAGGGTTTGCATTTAAATTATGCGGGGTGTTAAGCTTATTCTGATTATGCAAATCGTGGTTGTTTATTGAATTTTTGCTCGCATCGATACCAGCTTATTCATTCCGAAAAAATGTTTACTAAAACCACTTAAAAATCAGTTTTAGAACACGGTATTACCACACTAACCTATTTCGAAAAATTGGCGTTTGATAGCTATCCGCTAAAATGCCACTAGTGGTAGAAAGCGACTGAAAAAGAGTTGTTTTCTAATAAAAAAATTTGTTTGGGGGCTTTTCAGAAAAATGACCGCCCACCATTGTAGAACCAAATATCCTACTATATATAAAAAATAGTTTCTGTGTGTGTGTGCATTTGCATGCAACTTCCGTCAGCGTGTTCCAGTAGTATCTCAAAAGGGGGAGGTTTTTAAGATACGTATGATACGTCATTAGGTGCGTAATGCTTCCGAGATGACTGCACACAGATAAGTTTTTGCAAATAATGCTATTTTCGACATTAAAATTAGGTTTTTGTTGAAAAAAAACGGGCCTCCTCTTTGTTAGGAGAAAATTAGCATGCACCGGACGTGGCGATAGCCTATATAATGGAAGAGAGGGAGCGTTTTTCATTATTGCTCATGACAATCGGGCGAATTATGCAAAATGCAGATTTCATGGGCTTATACGAGGCCAGGGTTGAAAAGTCGCGAAGCGGCTTTTCAACCCTGGTTCATAGTAAAATATTTAATTTCAGGCAACCCCATCCGCGGCATGGTCCTCTGCGAATCCGCTTGGCCAGCTCGCGTGGCCGCCGAAGTCCTCAACGACATTGCTCGAATCACAAATGTAATTTCCGCTTCGCTTTAAGATTTCTTCCTCTAGATAGAAACCAAGGTTGTGCATGCGGTTCTCGACGAAAAAGCGATAAATAGTGAGCACCAATCTACCTTTTGAACTTGAAACCTAGGCCCCCATGCACATCTCCATAAATCGCTCCAGACTCTCCCGGCCCTATTTCGAACAGTGGGTTTTTTAAAAATAATACATCTCTGCGTTTTAGTCCACCGATAATACCATCGCCATTATACGCCTGGATTTACCCATGGCGCAAAGGGTCGTCGACGAGTTGGCCGGGTGCTTACCGCAGTTTGTCGTCAGCGTGGATAGAAGGTATCAAAAATGTTGTTTTTTTAACACTTACAGATCTCTCTCGTTACTCCCGCTCCATACAACAGAACATGTCGCCCTACTGTCGGAGCGATATGAGAAATTGGTAACCGAGCTTTGGTGACGATTCATAGATTCTTTAGAGAGCAACCGATGGCCGACGCGAGCACGAGTTTACCGCGGATAATTTTAATTTTCGCGTGGAACCGCCGACTGTTTTGGACACGTATGGTTTTCCGACGTTAGTTCCCGTACCGCAAATTTCAGATACAACTTTGACTTCCACCCATCGGCCCTGTGTTTGGACGTGAAAGCGATGCGCGTGACGGAATATTTCAGCTTGGCCGATGAGAGCAGGTGATCTTGATATGTTCTTCGAGATTTGCTATCATCCCATCGAATTACATCTGATCGAATTGCATCCCATCGAATTACATCCCATCGAAATTACATCCCATCGAAATTACGACTCATCGAATTACGACTCATCGAAATTACGACTCATCGAATTACGACTCATCGAAATTACGACTCATAGAAATGTCAGCTAAGCGAATTTTCAAAAAATACTAATTTTTGCCCGGTCCAATTTTAGTCATTCTTGGCCGAAAAAAATCCGTTTCTGGACCTAAAATTAAATTTTTAATAAAAATCTGTATAGTTTTTATGCTTAGAAATAGTTAAAAACCACTTAAAAACGCATCCGCTATTCATAAAAAAATTTAGGCTTGGACCGAAAAAAATTTGGTTGACAAAAACCGATATTTCGAGGAGTTGTAATTTCGATGAGTCGTAATTTCGATGAGTCGTAATTTCGATGAGTCGTAATTTCGATGAGTCGTAATTTCGATGAGCCGTAATTCGATGAGTCGTAATTCGATGAGTCGTAATTTCGATGAGTCGTAATTTCGATGGGATGTAATTCGATGGGATGCAATTCGATGGGATGCAATTCGGGCAGATGTGATTCGATGGGTTAAAAAAATGCCGTTCTTCGACATACCTATTTCAGTCCCACGGCCGATTTCCGGCTTGGCAGCAACGAGCGAACGGCGTACGCCAGGGACAACCCCGGGGCCACTTTTTATGTTACTGGGGTAACAAAGGGGCGCTTTACCATTTGCGGGGGGTGGGGAGTCCGAATTTTTTTCCTGATGAAGCAAGTTTTTTTCTCGTACGCAAAAGAATCGTATTTTTCCACCAGCATTTCAAATTTTCATACGGTTTAAAGTTTTCTAAATCTGAAGAAACCAAAAAGAAACTAAAAGTTTTAGTCCAGTTGAAATCTGTCCAAATTTTACAAAAATAGATGATTAAAATTCGGGCCTCCGCTCCCCGGTAATACTAAAGAACCAACAAAGCGTCCAAAATATAACTTACCGTTTAGGCGCGTCCAAGAATCGGGGTACTCGATGACGATCAGCTATTTTGGAACGAAACGGAGCATTCGTTATATGGACGGGTACGTTTCCTGACGACCTCAAAAGTAAATCGATCCATCGCAGGTCCCGACCGGCGAGCTGTCGAAGCTTCTGATCCGCCATATTTCAACGCAAAAAGTGGCCCTGATCAAGCCGCTTTATGACTACGTGGAAGATCCGGCGGCCGTGGCACGACGCAAACAAATCGATCAGCTGATCTCCAGATTGGATACGACTTTTCCATTTTTGACGGCTTGATGTCTTCTGATGTGATAGATTGAAAACGGATTCTTACGATTACGGCTTTCCCATTTTTTACGGGTTGTTATGATTCCACGGATTACATAGGGCTTTTTATTTTTCAATCCGTGATCGCTTGATTTGTATGAATTGACGTTTTGATAACTTGGTTTATGCTTTGACAGATTGGATAGGAGGTTATTTTTCACCGGTGTGATAACTTTGACAATTTGGTTTTTGACAGATAAATTATGGCATTTGTTGTTTGGATGCCTTTTTCCGATAGTCGCACAGGAGCCGCGATTAGATTGTCAGACTTTGCATGTAGGGATTAGCATACGCGCATTCTGGGGGAAAACCCATAAATCGCGTCTTCTTATTCGTCCCCGATTTACTTAGATGGCTGTCGGCGTCGACTCCGGGTTCGTGTAGATGAACTTCAGGTTGACCGCGCGCTACAACTTCCAGGTATTTACCGGAAAACGGCATCGGTGCCGCGAAGTGCGGGCCAGGCGACGCAGAGCGCGAGGTTGAAATGTGGGTGCCGCCCCTGCTCCGCTCGGAGACGATTCGGCCCGATGAGTGTCAGCTGGTCGTCAAGAAGGACGAGGAGTCGGGGCGGTAGGCTGGTTATTTCCCGTTGTTGCATTAATGTACGTTTGTAGAACTCGCTACACGTACACGCTGGTCTGGAAGGAATCGAATGCGCCGTTTGCCGGGACGAACAATTCTGGAGTCAACAACTGCTCGACGGTTGGCGCTCAGCGATTCAACGACAAACGCCAAGGTTTTCTATTTAATGAATATTCAATAAGAGGATTTTTTAATACCAGACAAGGCGAACATTTCGTGTACTTTAAATCCTTTAAAAACCTCGAAATAAACATATCTATCAATAAGGTTGCAAACTCCCTTTTCTCCTATTTTCGAACTATGCAAAAACATTTCCGATCCTACGTCGCACCAAAGCAGCTGTTTTTTTTGGGAATTTACCGCTAAATCAAAATTATTCAGGCCTGGAGAGCCTCATGTGCGACGGTCCGTGTCGCCGCAATCACCCGCCCGGCCATTTCGTGGTGGGTCGACGACTTTGTGCGCGTTACCATAATTTTCTTATTCTTCATTCTGGTCCCTAACCAATCTCAGATGCTTGGCCGCTGTGCGCACTACTTGTGCAAAGGCTGCGCTTCGCTGGCCGGGCCCGATGCCGGTAAGTTGATCAGGTTCTCGTCAAGTAGCCCACATTTTTCGACGAGATCATCTGCACGGCATGGACCTGCTACCTGGACCGCACCGGGGACCACGGTGACTCGGCTAGGCGCCGCTGGAAGCGCAGCTGTCCCCAGGTTTGAAGTCGGAAAGCCGTATGTATCGTTGCGCGTCAGCCGGATTGCTGCCAGCCCCACCCAAATGAGACCCAGCCGTCCACTTCCGGCTCTTCGACAGCTTCCTGGCCTTCGCAGGGCACCCTGTGTGAGCGTTGGGTGGGTTTTAGGCTCCGGCTTGGCTTCATTGAAATACAGGGGTTGTTTTAAACTGTTTTTCGCCTATTTCCAAACGCGGAAACTTTGCAAATCTTTGTGAAAACTTGCAAAAATAGCATTTTCTAGTCAACTTCTGTTTGATTTTTATGTTTCTTGTAATTCCCTGTTTTTTAGGTAGTTTTTCGCTATAAATATCGTTAAATTGACTAAAAACATTTAGAAGATCCTAACGGGTGTCGAACGGAAAACTTTTTTCGGTGGAAATATCGTTAAATTTACTATTAAAATATCTGCCTGGTTTATTGCGTTAATGGTAGGTGGAAATAGAAAAAAAATAAGAAAAATAAAGCCGTTCAGTCCCCGCTGGTGACGGCCCGTTCGGACGTTTGGTCGAGTACATCGTTGGTCCCTCCCGTCCAATCTTTCGAGCCGATGAAGATGCGCGCCATCGTTCTCCGGCCCACCCAGGAGGGCATGCGCCGGCTCATCTGGTCGGTAAGTGAGCGCATTTAGCAATCACGAATTTCACCGTTTCCCTAGGGCGACTGCGTGCCCACCTCGACCCTTCGCGAGGTCATCCAATCGTTCGTCCCCGATTACCAGTGAGAATTTTTTCCCTTATGAAATTTGACTGCCCAGGGCCGCCCGTGTTTTCATCTGCCGAACCTCTCGCGGAACCGCCGGAGACCATCAGCTGGTTAACCTCGACATGCGCGAGGACGGCGATTCGCCGATTGGCAAGGTAGCAAACCATTTCTGATTTTAACAAAATGGAATCGGAATGCCTAAATTTAATTGCAGAAACAACCAAATTCGGGATTTGGAGTTTAGGTCTTCTGGAATTAAGGTTAAAGGATCTAGACATTATCAAAATTCCCCGTTAGAAGAAATTCCTCATGCTTTCTTTGGTTCTAGTTCGTTAGTGGGGGGGAGTTCTGTCCCAAAATGTTCGACATTTTTGCGATGTTTTAAAAATTTTTTGACGCTAATTTTGTTTTTGCTGCTGTTTTTAATAAAATTCGACTATCCAAAAAACCATTGCAAACTTTTATAATTCAAAGTTTAGGCGGAAGTCGGAATGGTGAAAACGGCTTATTTTTAGTTTGTCGAATTGTCATTTTGTCGAAATTTATGCCTTTTTCGCCCCGATTATTCATCTGAAAGATTTCGCAACGCGTAATGCCGCTCATGAATTTCGAAAAAAATTATAGAAAATCTGTTAAAACCTGACACTTCAACTAGAGAGGCTATAGACAACCTCCCCCGCTAACGAACCAGAGCCGTTTCCTAATGACCTACTATTTTTTAGTATATCGAGATGGCCCGTCACGGTGTCCTGGAGCTGGCCATCGACTTTAGCCGCCGAATCACACCGCACTACACATTCTGAAAGCCCTGCCTGTGCCCGTCTCCTCATCATCACTCCCGTTAACAATCCCCTCCTCACCATGCCGTACCACTCTACCACTCGATCATCCCTCCTGCTGCCCTCGACAAAAACATTTAACGAATTGAATCTTTCGCGTGTTACTGGTCGTCGACGTTTCTGCTCGGCTGAAATAAAGCTTATCAATTACTGTTTTTGAGTGCATTTTATGGTACTTGACTGTTAGCGGGGGGATAGGACTATTTTTCTTTTCCCACTTTTTGTTGATAGTTTCTACTTATTCTTTACCAGGATTCAAAAGCCGCTACGCGGCTTTTCACCCCTGGCCCCGTCTAGGCCCCATCATATTCTACACATCGCATAATTCGAGGCGCCGCCCCGAATAAAAAATGAAAAGCGCTCGCCCTCCACCCTTTATATAGGCTCTCCCCACTTCCGGTGTATGCTAATTGTTTCCTAACAAAGAGGCTGAGTGAGATTTTCACAAAAACCTATTTTTAATATCGAAAACGGCTGATTTTGTTAAAATTGATATGTGTGCAGTCGTGTCATGAGCATTACGCACCTAATGACGTATCATACACCGCCTTAACTTCTTTCCTTATTAAGATACGACTGGAACATACGGACGGAAGTTGCATGCAAATGCACACACACACACACACAGACACTATTTTTTATATATAGTAGGATACTGTTTTTAGTAGCCTTTAATTGCTAGGAGGTTAAAACAATTTTTTACCTGTTTTGTTATTTTTTAAAGTTTTGTTAAATTTTCTTATTTACGTCCACACCAAAGCCGACGATAAATCTCGACACCCCAAAATCCCGACAGCTCTAAATAGCGATGGCCAAAACCCCGACAAGCAATGTTGATGTCTAAAAGGAGGTAGAACTATGGTGTGGATTATGTAGGAATTTTGGCTTTCGGGATTTTTGTTGTCGGTATTTTGGATCTCGGAATTAAGGCTACGTTCGCTGTCGGTATTATGGCTCTCGAGATTTTGGCTGTTGAGGTTAGGGCTTTTTACGGATTATGCATGTCGGGATTATGGGTGTCGGTATTATGGGTATCGGTATTATGGTTGTCTGCGTTATTGCCTGTCGAGATTTTGGCTTGTCGGCATTTTCGCTATCGGAATTTTGGCTTGTCGGAATTTTCGCTATCGGAATTTTGGCTCTCGTTATTTTCGCTGTCGGGGTTTTAGCTGTCGGCATCATCGCTGTCGGTATTATGGTTATCGTTACTTTGGCTGTCGGGATTATGCAGTCAGTATTTTTGGCTGACGGAATTTTGGCTAGAATCCGGCTTAACCCTCATTTGAAGACCACCCGCGCGTAGATCCGCCCTTCCCATACCAGGTTTATCGAGGGGTTTGATTGAGAGGGTCGAGTGTTAGCCGGGGGCTTGGCCCCTCCCCCCCCCCCCTTCCTTCCCATTCCTTCCTCCTCCTTCTAGGCACAAGCAAACAATATCCCTTCTGTGGCTGGGGGGAGGTCTCCGTTTTGAGGGTGACCGCACCCTCCCGCCTTCTAAGGCTTCTTCAACGTCGAGCTTCGCCTACACCCGGATTCTGGCTCCCTGTGCTTTTGCGTTATCGGGGGGGGGGGGGATGGTTCGATCTGTGTCTGGGATTTCGATTTGGACGCCTCCGGCCTAGCTTTTGCAGAATTTTGAACTAGTTTTTCAATTTTCCAAATTTTTTGTACTTATGCAATATCGGGGGGAGGGGGGGGGGGTGGAGGGGAGGAGTGATCAACTTTTTTTACGATCGCATTATTTTATTCCTCGAAAATGTTGAACTGTTTTTTACTATTCTATGCGTAAAATATTTACAAATTTGCTAGAAAACACAAAATAAAATCTAAAATAAATAAATTATAAAATAAAAAATACGAAAAATAGCGATTTATCGATCAAAAATATTCAACGGAATTTTGAAACGAAATTAAAGTGTTTTTAGATAGTTTTTCCAGTTGATAGATGGTTAAACTTGACTAAAAACTACTAAGATAATTTTTATTATGCTAATAATCATTAATATAATCATAAGAAAAAATAGGTCCCCCCCGATAATGCAAAAGTACCCGAAAACACGTTTTCGCAAAATTTGCAAAACGCCGAATCTGACACTTTTCCCCCT